TTTTTTTTTTTTATTTCCTATATACATTTTCTTTAAATTATCAAAGGAGTTTTATCTTATAGATGGCAGGTCATCATTAAAAGTATTCTTTTTTCCCACAAGTCTGCTAGCTTATCTTTAAAAAATGTGAATCTTTTCATAAAAGAGGTAAAAACGTTTAATCAAAAAATCGTCATGGTTAAGCATGAAGAGGTAATACATATTGCCCCCTGTTTGAAGTCAGGTGAATTAAGTATCTTTACTTTAATTTGGTCTCAAATAAATTTTGTAAATGGATGTTGATGTGGAAGTAAATTGAAGCATGGGAAGATTTAATGAGATTTAATCAGGGAAACACAATTAATAGCAAACATTGACTAATCAATTGTGTTATCACTAGGTTAGTCAATCCATCTTATCAGTAATTCATTAAAGCTAGCTTTTAATCTGAGTAGCCCTGAATGAATGGTAGGCAGTTTGACATAGTTGACATTTGTGTACAGGAGCAGAATAACATAGTTTGTTGATTACTTACAGATGATTAGATGTCACAGATTCCTTTATCTATGTTGCCTTTTTTCATTTATTGGAAATATTTGGCATTCTGAACATGATGACAACAAACATCAAAGACTTTAGAGTAATTCATATCTTGAAACAAAATTTTGTACAACGATATTGCCATGTTTTAAGCAGTTCATCTGAGTCACTCAGGTGCCCTATTGCTATCTGATGGTTCTCATCTGTCCCCATCTGTTGTATGTTAATTAACTTTTAAAGAACCAATTTCCATGCACTTATTTTGGGTATAAGTATTTTGGGTATGTTAGGTTGAAGGGGGACAGAAGTTATGGTCCTGGGTGAGGCATTCAGGTTAAAGATTGGGGCAGTAATGATTATTTAGTGGAAAAGGGTATTGAATTTTTTCTTCTACTGGGTAAGCATACAGACTAAGTGTATGGTTAGGATGGGGAAGGATCCCTCTTCTTAAGTTATTAAATTCGACAGTTGGCCCATCAGTCAGGGATTGCGATGGTAGGGCAGGGCTCTAATAAAAACACTATTTTTTTAGTGTTGTCAAATTGGTTAAAAATTTTATGATTAATGATTAATCAGCAGCATCAGTTGACTCTAATCAACTGATAATCAAATGGGTAACCATTTGTATGAAAAAAATTCAAATATGTGCAAATATACAAAAAAGAGCTTGCAGTAGGTAACCTGAATGACTTGGGTGACCTAAAATTTGAATTTTTTATCAGATTTAATTGATGAATGCAATTTACGCTACCAAAATAAAAGAAAGAAACCTTTAATTTCATTTTTACTCTTTCTTCAAAATACAATGGACAACTTATTTTGCTAAATTAACCTATATTGATAAACTATTTGATGGTTAATTTAATACGTTTATAGTTCAATAATAAAGCATTGTTATAAATAACCACCAAAACAGGTGCAAGGAATTCTGTAAAATGTTGTCAAAGTTTCATTCTACTTGCAATGGTGAAAAGAATAATTTATATGACTCCTGACTTCATAAACATCATGTCAAATTAAGTTGTGACCACCAAGTGTATTTTACTTTAACAATCAACTTGGAAAAATGAAAAATCAAATTTTGAAACTCATAAAAAAACTTATTTAGATTTTAAAAAACAGATACGATAAACTGTGACACTCAAAACACCTTTTATTAACCCATTTATAGATTCAAACAATACATTAAAAGATAGAGGTACATGTATTTAGATTCATGTATTGATGAAGTATCGCTTCAGACACAAACTGTTAATTGTTTAATGTATGCAGATGACATTGTTATTTTATCCTCATCAGCTAAAGGTATACAAGCAAGACTCGCTAAACTTGAAAAGTATTGCTCTGATTGGTGTTTAAAGGTAAACATTCAAAAAACAAAAGTCATGATCTTTAATAAGGCTGGTCGTAATATTACACAAAAACTAATATTTCAAAATAATATGATAGAATGTGTGCCCAGCTACAAATATCTTGGAGTCCACCTGAGTGTATCTGGAAGCTTTCATGTAGCAAGATTAGAGCTTTATAAGAAAGCATTAAAAGCATATTATAAATTAAGAAAGGATTTTATTGATTTGAACCCTGGGATTAAAACCAGTAAACATGTATTTGACTCTACCATTAAACCAATTCTTTTGTATAATGCAGAGGTGTGGGGTGCAAGTAATATAAATACTAAAAAATTCCTAAACAGTCAAAATTTAACAGTTGAAGATTGCTTTAAAAATCTACCCTGTGAAAGAATACACCTTAAATTCTGTAAATATATTCTAGGCGTTCATAAGAAAAGCACAAATTTTGCAGTACTGTCTGAATTGGGAAGGTTCCCCCTGCATTATGATATTGCCAGGTTGTTGATTAAAAGTTGGTATAAATTTGAGAATTTGTCCATAGAATTTCCTTTACTTAAAGATGCCTATGAATGTAGTAAAAAGCTTTTTGCGAATGGAAAGAACTCATGGTTTGCATTTATACAGAAATTAAGAAAATTACTGAATATTAAAGATGAAGTTATTTGTTATGGAAAATATAAATTTAAGTCATTCTGTCATAAAATTTTATTAGATTATTATGTGAGGAAATGGTATACAAGTTATAAAAGTTACACCAATGGCAAATTATCCACATATGTGAAACTCAAACAAAATTGGGGTTATGAGAATTATTTATCAGTTGTTAAAAATTTTCATCACAGAAAATCTTTATGTAAATTAAGAATTTCCTGTCACAGATTACAAATTGAAGTGGGAAGATTTACCAATATTCCTCGAGAAGATCGATTATGTAATAGATGTAATTCTAACAACATAGATGATGAAACTCATTTTTTAATAGCATGTAAAAAATTTGATCATCAAAGAAAAGAAATGTTTCAGTTAATTAATCATAAATTTCCACTATTTTCAGCTTTAGATGATGAACAAAAACTTTATTGGTTACTCAATACAGAAGATAAGGAAACTCTTAATTTTGTGGGCAAATTTATAAATGATAACATGTTATAGTACCATTAGTCTTTTACACATACATGCATATTTGATGTATTCCTTTTAGACAGGATTATTGTTGAAATCATTTATGTCAACTGCTAATTGTATAATTGTTTTGCTATTCATTGGCTTATCTTTTCCTTATTATTGTAACAATTTCATACTTGTCTGTCATGGGCTCTAAATTAGAAATAAAATGTTCTGTTCTGTTCTGTTCTGTAATTGATTCAGAAGTTTAAAACATGTACTTAAATCTTGCCAAAGAAAATAAATCAAGTTATTTGAAATACACAGAATATTTCTTTTCAAAAGTGTAAAAAGTTGACAACAAATTTGACACATACTGTTTACCCCAAACACTGAATGGTTAAAACCAAGATTTTGTTAAATTGTTTTGTTTTCTGAAACACTTTATGCAAACCAAAACAATGTGTGGTCAGAATTCTGAATGATGAATGGTATGAGAGGCCTTAATGCTGAATTATAACTTCTGTAAAGGTTAAAGTCCTAAGTTTTTTGCTAATTTTTAACAGTCAATATCCAAATAATAGCCTAAAAACACAATAAATACCTAGTGGGTTTACTGCCTCGTAAACAGATCATGTCTAGTGCTATGTGTTTTGCTTTTTTGCTATTTGCTTTTTACCTGTATCAGTTTACATATTTCCTTCTGTTATACATAAAAAAATTGTAAAAATAATTTTTACGACATTTCTTGAAAGAACCCTTTGTACTTCTAATCAGAATTTTGACACTCAGTCAAAATAAAATGTTCACACACAGAGCCAACCAAACAATTCAGTCAGTTTTGTTTTTAGGTTAGACAAATTTAAATACTTTCTAGGAAAAGAGAAAAACAATTAAAATTCAAAAATATTTTAATAGATAAGTACCTTTGCAAAAAAAAACCTTTCCAAATCACTTTGAAGAGGGCCATTGCAACATTAAACTGCCAGACATCATATTCATATTTCACGTGGTTAACTGGATTAGACAAAAATGCAGGCAGTTACGTAACACTTGTCATATCTGCAAGCTAGGGCACCAATGTCTGAGACAAGGTGACACAAATGTGTCTTTGTTAGAAAAGAGGAAGAGGGTATAAACAGTGATAGAATAAGACAGCTATTGGAGTTGGTTTTTACTTTCTAAACAAAGTTACTGCAGTAAAGCTTGACTTCCAAGCAACTTTTTATGCAACCCAGAAAATTTCATTGACAGTAATTCATGCAATAGAATCCTGGTAACTCCACATATTTTGGAGTGCAACTCAATGCATAAACTGAATTTCTATCCATTTTGGTTCTGAGATTATACTGAGCAGATTTTTTTTATGAAATGCTAAGCTGCATTAACAAAAGCAATTACTTAATTTAATGTTCCCCAAGTGTCTCAGGCTTCCTTAGTTATTTGATTTATGGCCTACTAAATTTCCAGAAGCAGTTCTTTCTATTGTCTATGACAAATGTCAGGTTGTGCAGTATCCTAGATTTTTGACAAGTTTCCATTAAAAAACACTTTACTTTGAAGATTTTTTGATTGCTCTCTAAATATATTGGACACAAATCATCATGTACTGTAAGAGGAAAACAGAATCAGGTGCCTTCAGCATAAAAGTGTGACTTGCATGCTTCTGTTGGGTAGATAACAGAAAAAAAATTAGGTACGAAAAGTTATTGGAGGGGTCAAAGGGAAAAACATAGATTCTGAAGTCATTATTTTATTAGCATTATTATAAAAACCATCTAACTGGCATCAGATAAGGTGAACCTCTATTTCCCAACACTTTTTTATAATTCTCATTATACTCACTCATACTTTGAAACCACTTTGTGCTTCATTTCCCACCTACCCACCTTCTCCCTTATTTACAGTATATGATAGCATGATAAATGAACTGTAGTTTCATAAGCAGCATAGAATTTCCACATTGTCTAAATTAATAAACCTTGAGAAAAATGTAATTTTCTCAATTTTTCAATTTTTCAGATTGCCAGGATGTGCTTGAGAGAGGCCACACTATAAGTGGCGTGTACTATATCACCACCACCTACTCCTCCTGCTCTATCCCTGTGTGGTGTGACATGGACACCGCCCCAGGTGGCTGGCTAGTCATCCAGAACCGCTTCAATGGACAGGTAGACTTCAACAGACTCTGGGACGAATACAGAGATGGCTTTGGAAACATTGCCTCTGAGTTTTGGTTAGGACTTGATAACATATTCCTCTTGTCTAATCAGGACTTCTATGAACTGAGGTTTGATCTATGGGACTTTGAAGATAACAGGGTTTATGCCCTTTATAAGAATTTCAAACTTGATGGAGCCAGAGACAGGTACAAGATACATGCAACTGATTTTGAAGGCAGTGCCAAAAATGGCATGAGTGTGCATCATGGGATGCGGTTTTCCACGCCAGATCAGGATAATGACAACTGGCATACGTACCACTGTGGTAAAGAGTGGCGGGCTGGGTGGTGGTTTAACAATTGCTGGCATTCCATTCTAAATGGTCCCTATTACAACCAATCAACTGTCAGAACAAGGGGAATCTCTTGGAATGACTGGAAGCCTGAACAACTTGCCAAAACGCAAATGAAAATACGACCCAGCAGGTTATACAAGAGTGTCAAATCAACCAAAAGTGACCAAAATGCATCCAAATCAAAGCCAAAAGATGAGGCCACAGCGCCAGCACAGAGTGAAAACTCACTAGAAAAGGTCATTAGCAAAGTCAGACAAAAGTCATAGGAATTACTAGACCTAGGTTTATATCAATGCACAAACCTACAGCAAACTTTAATGTGTCTTTCAGCAGACAGTTCAATTCTATGTTATCTTCCAGACGGAAATCAATGGAATATTTCAGCTACCCTCTAACAAAATGTAAATTATTGTGCAAGCTAAAGACATGCGGGCTGTGTTTACATAAAAATATGATGTTTATCTCATACATTCAAAGATTTATCACACATATTGTCAGTGGAGCAGACAAGCTTAGCATGCTTTTGCTGCCTTGGCAAAAACAGAGCAGAAACAGAGGAAGAATGTTTATAGATTTTATTGCCGCACAATCAAAGTTACAGTGTCGAAATTAAAAAAAAATTGGTGATTATAGATATTAATGATGCAATACAAATTCCTTTATTTATTAACACCCCAAAAAATCCCTCCACATCTGAAGGGAACCAAGATTGCTCAGCGGACTTCATTTTTAACCAAAACTGCCATTTATTGTTGTATGCTTGCATTACTTTTTGCTTTATGACATTTTATTACATGTGATTAAAATATGTGCCATACTATAGAACAGTAACTGTTGGTAGTACTCATTCCAAATAAGGTATTAAGAACAAAAACTAAGAAAACTCGGAGCTATAAAAAAAACGTTAAAATATTTGATTTTTATTTTTGTGATCCAAATTCTAGAAAGAATCTTTCATTTTTTATAGGTACCTATAAAGAATGAAAACAAAATTAAGAAATCGTTCTTGAGTTGTCATTGCTGTTCTAGAACATTTCTGTGGCAAATTTAGGGCGCCGATATGACTACAGTAATTATATATATGTAAAAGTAATGTCTGCGGTATGTCATAGCTACATGGCACATGGAGCAAGAAGACAGCATTACTGTTAATTCGATTATCTGTGGATTATCTTGCCAACACGTTGTCAGTTACTTTCTATCCTTGCATAAAGTGTCCTCTATATCTTGAGTACACTACGGTCATATGTTCCAAATTGTATAACGTATATTGCCCAAATATTTAATTTGCAGATATTCTTAATATAAAATGATGGTACATGTACCATCAGATACTCTTAGACAAAACATCAGCATAGTACCTTACCAGGGTGTTTGATTATTCAAAGAAATCTACCATACATATTCATTTATTTTAATTCTCAAATTTGTTTTAGAAGAGGGATAAAGCACCATTAGGTATAACAAAAGTTGCACAAAGGTCCTTCAGTGAGTATTACGTACCCCTCAATTTTAAAGGAATTTAGAAAAAAAACTGATTTTCAAAACTATTTTGCATATATCCTTTAGTAAGGGTAACTTTCTTTTATACCCTAGCCTCAAAGTTTTATTGTAGCTAAACCCCCCCCCCCCTTATTTATACATGCAGCATGCTTTCTGAAGTTCTGATATACATGTACCAGTGTTCATCAAAGAAGGGTTTGTTTTGGTAAATCTCTACAGCATTTTAATTTTTTCACATCAGGAGCTCAATAACATGCAAATATATTTCTGTAGCTTTGATTTTATTGTATATGGTCAGTTGTTCATCTTAATTTATATAACATTTTCCATCAAATCTGCAGCATTTTTGTACTTTACTATGTATTTTTAAATATTTTGTATTATTTATATGTGTTGTGAAATCTCTGCTCTTTCATATAATAAATATTTAATGACAGACTTCTGAAATATTACCTTATAAAGTATGTTCCAATATCATTTAAATGGATAAAATGGCTTGCATTTAGCTTTATTCCATATACAGTACTTACCAGGCACTGTAAGTTAAACCTAGCAGAAAGTGGCAACTGAATTAACACCCCCTCCCCCTTTATGGGGAGAGAAGAAAGTGGAAAATACTTTGAGAAATCAAGAAAATGTTTAAAAATCAAGAATTAATTGCCTTAATCTATTAAGGAAAAATCCAGAGCAGGAAAGATTTTGAAAGATAAAGAAATTTGAGATTAAAGTTCTTACTACCAAGCATCACCTGCACACATAAATGCCAATATTCTCTAAAGATACAATGGAATCGGCTGCAATTTTAACCTATTTTTAAATGTCTTCATTCTCTACACGAAAAATTCATATAAAATGCCATCCTTAAAAAAGCTGAGAACAGTAAAAAGTGACATAATTTTACTGCATCATAGAGTATAACGAAATAGCTAGAAATCTGACTCTTCTGATAGATGCATGACAAGCTATATGGAGTTATGTTGTTGTACGTTATGCCCTCAAGAAATTCCATCCATTAAAAAAAAAACTCTAAAAATGATAACAAACTTATATAAAAAAAAACACCAAAATAAGAATCCAGACAATAAATAAAGTAGGTATTTCACAAGGTTATCATTTTCCTGTGAATTATGTAATTTTTTCATCAGTTTATACACCCAATTACACATTGCATTCCAATGTACTGTATAATTAGAGCTCTGTTCCTCAGTGCTATAGAATCTCTCGCTCCCACTCCACCCTTATATCAGCATTCCACAGGATAAATAACCTTGAAATTAGTCTTTCATTCTCAAAAGATGTGATGTACTGTAAAATATTGTCATGTCTCACAAGATATAAAATCTCAAGCATTAGGGACAATTTCCATCAATATCAATGACAATTTCTATGATATTGTATTGTACAAATCATGTGCTAAATTGACTCTGGAAAAAATTAAAGCCTCAGCTTATATGACACTCTAACAATATCAGGAATTATGCATTACAGAGGTTTAGGTGATGTTTTAAACATTTACAAGACCAGCAAGAGGCCCATGGGCCTCAAAACTCACCTGAGTCACCTGGGCCCTCATGTTCTGAGGAAGATTTTAAAAACTTTCACACTTCATTCCCATAAACCATTCTCTGAGTCTACTCTGTAGTCCCATGCAGTGGATAAATCGTGATTAAATTTGAATTCAATCCACACAACATGGGGATGCTTCGATATCAATATACATCTAAACTTCAAGTTTCTTTTACACTGTTCTCAAGTACTGTGGATATATGTCACAGTGATTTGGAGGTCCAGACCACTTATTCTTTAAGTATTTTACCCTTTATATCTTGAACTATAGGAGTCTTTGTTCTTTCACATTCCACATTACAATTAAGGTCCGACTGTCTATTTAAATGGCCTTGCTGTTCTAAAGAAAGGATGTTTAAAAGCGTTTTCTCCTCTCTACATGCATTATGTAAAATTTGATAAATATTAAGAGATTTTTTTTCTTCCAAAAAATGTGGCCCAATCCCACCCCTAGGATTTGAACACTTTTAAATCTGATTTGAACAAATTTGAATCTACACTATGTCAGAAGTCTTTAAAAAAACTTTTTATCTTTTTATTAGCCCAGTGGTATACTAAAGAGATTTTCTTTTTTAAAACACTTACCCTATTTTTTCTTTTCTTAATTACCTATCCTCCAAAAAGGGCCTTATAGCTTTCATTTGACAACTTAATAATCCTTAAAGGGGGAGGGGGAACTGGCCCAGTAGTCCTCCATGGAATCTGAATAAGTTGAAAATGTGAAAATATATGATGATTACCATGAACATGCAACTACGACAAAAAAGGGGCATATCTAGATCAAAGAAGCTTTAGCTGAACTTATTAAAAAAAACTGATAAACATTAAAAATCATTGCAAAGTTTTCACTGATTGACTTGAACTGCTTTCCACTTGATTCCATGGTTCAAGATAGGCACAACTTTAAAGCATGATAAAATACCTCATGTAAGAATGCATCAAGAAGTAGAAATCTGAATGAATGGGAAGGTGACTCATGGAGCCGCAGACAGATTGGAATTTTAATATCAATTTTAAAACTTTTACCAATAATTGTCTCTATTAAAATACAAATCATTTGAAAACAAGATGTGTATGTGAAACACTATCTGATGCCCTCGTATGGCAACATACCAAAGGTTTGATTTTCTCAAATGCAAATCAAACATGTTGATACCCAAAGTATCTCACAAGAAATACAAATGTGAAATAAAGAACACTATCACCACCTGTTCAAAAGTTAGGCCAAAGTAAATGTTTTTTAAAGGTAAGTCAAACTCTGGGGTCAAGGTCAAAGGGTCAAGGTTGTTGGTTTCTAAAGAAAGGCTTTGTCACGAGATTACATATGGGAAGTATGAAAGCCCAAGCTCTAATTGTTCAAAAGTTATGACCAAGGTTAAAGTTTTTAAAATGTAGGTCAAACTCCAAGGCCAAGGTCAAAAGGTTCTTGATATCAAATGAAAGCGCTTGTCACAAGGATTACATTTGTGAAGTAAGAAAGCCCTAACCCTACCCTTCAAAGGTTATGGTCAAGATTTGTCTTTCTTTAAAAAAAATAACACAACAACTTTGACCCTTTGACCTTGGAGTTTGACCTACCTTTCAATAACCTATCCTTGGCTGTGACTTTTGAGCAGGTGGTGCTTAAAGGCTTTCATATTTCACAACATTTCTTGTGAGAAGACCCTAATTTGGGTACTAATATATCTAATTTGCATTTAAGAAAAGTTAAATATTCGCTATGTTGCCATATGGGGGCATTAGCATTTCACAAACACATCCTTTTGTTCATTTAAAAACTTGACACTACTCTCTCTTTCTTAAAATAAAAAAAAAAACCACATCACTCTGTTCCTGTTGAAATATATATATAATGCTGTATGTTGTGTGAATAAAAAAAAAATAAATAAAAAAAAATAAAAACTTGATACTGATGGAAATAGACTATTCTTACAGTCCTCATTATAACAACTCATCAGATGAGCTGTAATCATTTGATCCAGGGAGTTAATCACACTGAATTTTCAGATGATTACAGATGACAAATAGGAAAGTCAAGGCAAGGAAAAAAATCAGACTGACTAAGGTATGCAAGTTTGATTCCCCTCTAGTTACCAATGACTAAAAACAGATGTTTTGGTGAAATGCATGACACCAGAGGCTAAAAATTCCTGCAGTGGTATTACACATTTTCTCTGAACCCTGAACTTAAACCCCCTTGTTCATCTACAACCAAATAATCTAAATCAAAGTGTGTATTAACAGAATACACAGAAAACAAACTAGAATATGTCCAATGTTTTGTAGTTGAATATGAAATTTATTTCATGAGTGGGACAGATTTTTATTTTAATTTCACAAGTGTGAAGCATAATATCAAAAAATCCTGTCAAATATATAAATAGGCAATATAATCTAATGTGACAAAATTTAACAGTACAAAGTAATGAGACTGGAATAATAGCTAGAACAGGTTGGTTTGTTTATAGGTTATCTTTGAAATGAAGCAAACTCTATTTCTATTGAAACTAAATTATAAAAAGAATTTAAAACTCAAAGTGGTAAAAATAATGATTGGGTCGGTTTATCAAACAAATCATTTTATATTGTTGGCCTAACATTAAGAGATCAGGAAATCTTACAGATGAAATAGATATCTAAATCAAGCTTATCTCCCAGAAAAATCTCTGATACAGGAAATTTTTCAAAATCATCTTTGAAAATATAGAAATAAGGGGAGTATCCTGTTAAATGTACCTGTCAGCATTTTGTGTGCATTTCAAGTGATAAACACTGTGCATATATCATAAAAATTCACAGATCTCTTCTCAAAAATGATATTTTTTAAAACCAGTTGAGGTGCATTAAGTTTGACAAGCTATATCTGACACATAGTCTAAGAATATAATATATCGGGTTGTAATGTGAAGAGTCTGTGCGGTTGATTCATAATGAATTGTGTCCTTAAAATACTTAGTCTCCTCTCCGCCCACTCCATATTTTTAATTATTAATGCTACACAAAAACGCTACTGTTTTAACAGGGGGATTAGTCAACTGTTGATAGCAATGACTGTAAGGTCATTAGGATCCAAGAGAAAATTTAAAAGTTCAAGGTATTGAGGACCCTGGTGGTGGAATCATTATCTTATCTTGGTAATAAAATGGAAATTAAATTGTGAGTGGGCTTAAAACCACGTAGTAAACTAAATTACTTAAAGGGGAAGATCTTTAAGACAAAATATTTCAAATTTTGAAGATTAACACATGACCAGATTTTTGGTAAACAAGATAAATAACAAATAATCTCTCTCTATTCAGTGTATGTTCAGATTGAGTTTGAGATGAACATTTCTGTTACAATGTGAAAAACAAAATAAATACATGTACTCTATTACTCATTCATTAACTCTTGCACTGAACTCAGAAAGTTAAACACTCACAGCATAAAATTTTTCAAAAAATGTGAACTGCTTAAGTCTTTTGATTTTTGGCATGTCTCCCTCATCTAAGAGTGCAGGGATATTACATGATAATTTCTCATTAAATTTATGTGTCCAAAGCCTTTATTCCCATGCTTCTTCTTAAATAGTTTAGAAAAGTACACACCAATTTCTGCCCTGGATTAAAAAGTGATCAAGTCAAATTCTTCTGTTATCTAAGATTACAACGAATTCACCCAACTGAATTAAAAACTGTCACAGATACTTAGGAAATTCACCCAATACACCACAAGCCATTGTAACAAAAACTCAATCCTGTCACTTAACCCCGCTCTGTAACTGATAGTTAAGGGTGGCACTCACACGAGAAAAGGGGACACAGCAATTAGTATGCAGTGTTAGGCCTATTTCTTGGGATCCATTTCATGTTATTGTCTGGTATATAACTTATCTCCATTTTCAAAGCTACAATGACTGAAGTTTTTAGACTTCCGAGACCTCTAAGTAAAATTAACCGAGACATGATATGTCCGTATTTAATTTTTTACATACCTGTACTTTCTCAAATACTTGCGTAAAATTTGTTAAATTAGAAATAAACTGAGTAAACTTAAAAGCTAGGAATATCTGTGTTCTTGATTACAATGTATAAAAACATTCCTTGGCTTATCTGCACATAAATAATTTAAAAAAAAACTGTTTAGAAGACCCTGTAAAATTATTTTTAAAACATCAAACAAAAAAGTTAATAGAAAACAAATATGCTGTACAGCTTCCCTCAGTATGCAATCAATGCTGCCATTGTTTGATAAAGCATGTCAATTAACTGGCAGGTTAGTCAGGTACAAGATACAGGTACGATAATATACACCAGGTAATCCAAGCCAAATCAGCTGATTTAATTAGAGCTATCAGAGGGTGTGTCACACAGAAGAACCCGTGTGTTTGGGGGGATTAGATGACCTGGTGCCAGGTGCTCCAGCACTTCTGAGAGAATACACTGCAATTATTCTTGAATGGAGTATTTCTTACCCAATGTTTTATTGTTGTCACAGAACTGTTTCAGGTTGTTATTCCTCTTCTTACATTAATTAAAGTACATCATTGCAGAGACTTGGGATACTGAAATATCCACTAAAACAGTAGCCTTATGTCATCCAAAAAGGTTAAAGAAAGAAGGCAAAATACTATCCTACCTTGACTATCACTTTCATTCATACAGTCAGTTACCAATGATTAATCAATGTAATCCTAGTCTTCCTATATCTTACAAAACATTCACATTTGATTGTAGTAGTTTAAGAAAATAAAAACTATATACTTGACAGGTCTTGTTTTCACTACTTCCTGAAAAACTAATTCTACTTATCTTAACTTCATTCATCTGCCTATATCACTCTCTTATTGAAACACCTCTCAGTACATTTAATCTCACAGTATTTTGCTACTCAAACTGGAGAAATTCACACTCCTTCTAAAATCCTATAAAACAGTGTGCGCGAAAAACTTTTTTCAGCACTAGCCCAATCGGGCTTGTAATGAAGAAGAATAATTACTAGCCCTACATCATAAACAGATTTATGCTAGCCCACATACTATATACAACATGAATTTGATTTATATTGTCTTGCTTAAAACAGACGAAATTCATATTGATAGACATAACGCAGCCATAACCGGAAGTAAATGCTGATGTGTATTATATAAACCCAAACTGTACAGAGAAGACCGATTGAAAACAGTTATATTTATTCTAAGGAACACGCTTAAACAAAAGAAACCCTCGCACATGTAAAAAGAAAGGAAACAATAAGAATTCTTATACTTATTTTATTACTTTTAAAGATTTATCAACAAATAAATGTAAAATGCATGCAACTTTTCACTAGACCCATCGGGCTAGTGCTGACCTACATTCTACTAGCCCGATCGAATTTTTACTAGTGTTCGGGCATCGGGCTAGTCCTTTTGGCGCACACTGATAAAAAGTTTTTATATGATGCATGAAAAAAATTCATTATCCTTAAAGCTGTACCTGTATCCTCTACTTGATTATAATGTATCCCCTACAAGGCTATATCTTATTGACTACGTATCTGTATTTGTATCCTCTGCATCAAGAACTATAATGTATTACATCCATGATTTTTACCTTTATCCTCTACATCAAGGACAATATTGCATCCCCTATATAACTAAATCTGTATCCTCTACATCAAGGACTATACTGTATCCCCAACATGACTATATCTGTATCCTTTAAATCAAGGACAATATTGTATACCTTACATGACTATATCTGTATCCTCTTTATCAAGGACTATATTGTATCCCCTACATGACTATATCTGTATCCTCTACATCAAGGACTATATTGTATCCCCTACATGACTATATCTGTATCCTCTATATCAAGGACTATATTGTATCCCCTACATGACTATATATGTATCCTCAACATCAAAGACTATATTGTATCCCCTTCATGACTTTATTGTATCCTCTATATGACTTTACCTGTAACCTCTACATCAAGGACAATATTGTATCCCCTACATGACTATATCTGTATTCTCTGCATCAAGGACAATATTGTATCCCCTACATGACTATATCTGTATTCTCTGCATCAAGGACAATATTGTATCCCCTACATGACTATATCTGTATCCATCAATATATCAAGACTATACTATATCAAGGACAATATTGTATCCCCTACATGACTATATATGTATCCTGACATATTGTATCCTGCATCAAGGACAATAACATCAAAGACTATATTGTATACATCAAGGATTTTATTGTATCCTTAACATGACTATATTGTATTCTCTTCAAGACTTTCTCTCTCTATCCTCTACATCAAGGACTATATTGTATCCCCTACATGACTGTATAGTATCCCCTATATGAGTATATCTGTATTGTCTGCATCAAGGACTATATTGTATCCCCTACATAACTATATCTGTATCCTCTTTATCAGGGACAATATTGTATCCCCTTCATGACTTTATCTGTATCCTCTGCATCAAGGACTATATTGTATCCAGTATATGACTATATCTGTATTCTCTATATCAAGGACTATATTGTATCTCCTACATGACTATATCTGTATCCTCTATATCAAGGACTATATTGTATCTCCTACAAGACTATATCTGTATCCTCTACACCTCTACATCAAGGACAATATTGTATCCCCTACATGACTATATCTGTATTCTCTGCATCAAGGACAATATATCTGACTATATTGTATTGTCTGTATCAAGGACTATATTGTATCCAGTATATGACTATATCTATATCCTATACATCAAGGACTATATTGTATCCTCTACATGACTATATCTGTATCCTCTACATCAAGGACTTTATTGTATCCTCAACATGAGTTACCTTTGAGTTAGATCAAACTTCTCTTTTTTCTCTATATGACTAACCTCTGTGTTAGATTTGACCTCTACATGACCTACCTTTGTGTAAAATCAGACTTCTCTCTATCTTCTGGATCAATAACAATCATAACTAGTGTTTTTCCACTCTCTGCCATGTCATTTATATTTCCTCCTGACACCTTTGGAAATGCTGTGAAGCGTTCTCCATTTATCCATTGCTCCAATGATGATATGGAACTATCAGGTTCTACAGAGAAAAACAGGCAATCATTATAAATGTAAAAATGTCCTCAAAACCAATGTTTCTCTCCAAATTACCTTATATGTGTAATCATATTATATTAATTTTTTTCCTGTATCATTCCCTTAAAGGTTTTCCATCATCAAAAAAATTGTGGAACTTTCTATCCTAGATATTTATTTAAAAATATGTACTAGTAAGTTAGCAATCAAATAAAAATATAGAGAACTTGAAGACTAAATATCAAGTGGGGACTGAGAAACATAAACAATTCAAACCTAGATGTATACTGTATACATGGATATTTTCGCCCCATGTTATTTTCGCCTTTCCATACTTACAAACAAGTTTGCCCCATTTTAAATTCGCCCAGTCATAGTTTTGTTTAAGAAATTATTCGGTATTCTTTGAATTCGCCCCATTTTAAATTCACCCAAAAAAGGGTAGGGCGAAAGGGGCAAAAATAAAGCGGGGCGAAAAATTCCCTGTATACAGTATTTGACATTTTACTATGCTCAATTTTTCTGTGATACCAGGCTCCAGATTAAAAGAAATTCTAGAAGAAAAAGCAACCTTGGCATTAATAGTGAACTTGTTCAAGTCATTCTAAATAAAATTTGCTGTGGAAATATTTTTAGAAGAGTGAATTTTTGTTGGAATGACAAAAAAGGTAAATAACTTTAAAATCTGAAAGTACTTGAAGGATTCAAATGGTTAAATAGTTAAATGGATAAAAATCTTTGAAATTAGGTAATCTTGTAACTTTTTCATTCAAAACTTTAAAATAAAAGCATCTAAAAATATATATACATTGGGTTACTAAGCATAAGAAACTTACAAGCAAGTAAACATACAAAAACTGTGAAGTATACACTTGATAATTGCTGACATGTTCAAAACACATGTTTACTTATTATCAGGCTGTCAGAATTATTATAAAACCTGAAATCTTAAGAGACAGACTAACAGCTTTAAAATTCTGTACTGCATTCCTTTATGTCTGGACAGAAAATTTCTATCACATGGTTTATTTGATAGTTGTGTCTTACACACTGCTAATTTCCTAACCACCTGATACCTCAGGGCTGATATGTGGGCCTGCTGAGATGAAGGGAATTTGAAACACAGGGCTTACAAATATCCACGTAATTTACTTCAAAAGTTTATATTATCAACTCATGTTTTATCCCATGTTATAAATATCAAAGATTAGAACCATGTGATTTTCTTTTTATTGATTTTCACTGTCAAATCTGATATTCTTGAGAATTATACCACATCATTAAACAACCTGACACAGTTTAATGATTTCTGAAGAAATAGGCCGCAATGGGGTTTGGTCTTCATTATAATGAACAATTGCATATTTATATTGCAGGATCGTCCTTAAGAATTTAAATATCAGCCTCAGGGTACATCAAAAATGTTGCAGGGGGTAGGTGTTCTCCCCTTAATAAGGGGTTATGGGTGAATGCCAGAATAATTGGGGGATAATATTGGTATAGGTGGGGAAATTCCCTGCCCCTTGGGTTTAAGGGACAACCCAGATACAGTAATTCTATCAAGCTCAAACAGGTATAATAATGGTATACTGTATAGCAGGTTAAAATCGCGGTTGGAAAAGATCGCGATTTGTTCAATTTTCAGCAAATCACGGTCGTTTGAATTCGCGGAAAGGATAAATTTCTTAAACATTTCTTAATCAGTACTTGCATGCATTTTTCTGTAGGTATATATTGTTTGAACTGATATTTCCCGTCTCTGTCTTAAGAAAGTCTGTACAAGTATATCTCGCATATCAGACAGAAAAGTCGATTTTGATCCCGATTAAATAATAACGAAACACCGCACTGATCCTGATTTGAAGTCAAAATAATGTTACGCATTAAAATTATTTTTTTCCAGGTCCAAATCAGAAAAAAAATTCATACCGCATTCAAAATGTTGAATTTTAAATCATATAATTGAAAATTAATAATTGAATTAATTGTCGTTACCCTGTTTACTACGTAAATGCCTTGATTAAAGGTAATGACTGAGTGATACGCACGGGTGGGATTAAACAAGCATGTTTTATTAAATGATTACATCGCAAGTCTATTAGATTGCAAAACTAATCGTTAGCTATAGAAATAAATTAAACAATTCATAAGCTTTAAAAACACCAACGACTACGTGTTTATAATTGATCCATACACTCGCATAATTATAAAGACAGTCCACAGCTAATCACAGATAATAATAAAATTTCAATTTATCCTTATAAAACTTTTAAAGAATTATTCACTGTGTGTTGAATTCGCGGAATTTCTTTTTCCGCGAATATAGCGAAAATTAACTCCGCTAATTAATTTCCTGCTGTACAGTACATAGTTCTTTCTTGGTTTCATTTTTTACTTTTAATTATATTTTTTTACCTGTATATTCAAACCAAGTCTGATCCTTGAAAACTAAGACTGCTGGGACTTTTGTTAACTCAACATCCTAGTTAGAAAAGATAAACTGATTTATCTCAATGTACAAATAACAGACAGTTCTCAGCAAAAGCAATTTAAACCTTCATTTTCAATTAAATTGTTAAAGATGATATCTCTAATGATTAACTGAAAACTTTAAAATTAGTGAAGTTTCTCTAAAAATTAAATATTGAAACATTGCTATAAAGAGTTGGAGCTTCAGTCTGCATATTCCTCCTATCACAAGATTCAGTGTATCTTGGAAATAAAATAAGACTTTTAATGGAACCTTTGTTAATGTTTTCTCTGTTCCAGCATAAAAGTAGGACTGGGCTGCCATTTTCTCTGCTATACTTGAGTATGCTTTCTAGATGTAAGAAAGTAAATAAAACTTTAACCAATTTCAATTTCTAGTCATTTTGTTAATTTGTTTGGGAGGGGGAGGAATTTAATTATCTCCTTAATTTAAAAGAAACTTAAAGATATAGAAAAAGGTTAAAGTATTGTAAATTCATATCATATTACTGTGAGGCTAATTGTTTGATGAACAGATTATTAAACAAAACCAATGGACTGATAAATATGAAGAATCTATTTGGCTACTAGCATTTTAATAACATTAAGTATTTCATAATCATTTCATATTACTGTAAATAAATTGTCCGTTGATTGGCTGATTAAACTAAACCAATGTACTGGTAAATATCAAGAATCTTTTTGGCTACTGGTATTTTAATATTTCATATCATCAGTTTTACCTAAATGTAAATATTAAGTCTTACATAGAGATCATGTTCTGTGTCCCCATCCCCAACATACAGAAAGAAGACACCATCTTTGTGTTCTTGTTTTCCCTCATTAAATTTTCCTATACTGGCCATACTTCTCACAGGGGGCCTGAAAATCATTACAGATATTGCCTGTTTATAAAAGGAGATTATCCAAAACAGCAAGATTTTATTTCTTGTATAAGTTTTTTTCTGTCATTGAAAATAAAAGTTTCTTTTATCAATTATTGTCCAAAAAGTGGAGCATGACAGAGGTATGAAATGAAAGAAACACAACTCTTACTGATAAATAATCCTAAAGGAGTTACCACATTTCTGTAGGATCTAGTTTATTTTTTATATTTTTTATCACTACTGTGGTTTTATCAATTTTCTTTGGTATTAATTTTTGTGTATTTTGTAAAACAGATGTTTTGGAGAATACCTAATTTTGCGGGGGAAAAAACATTGCCAATACATGTACAAATGAATATTAACATATTTCTTAAGTCAATGAACGTTTAATTTCGTGGATCTGCTCAACAACGAAATCCTTGAAAAATTGGTGCTCAGCAAATATTGATGAAACCACAGTATATTGTGCGTATCATTTACTTTCAAAATTAAATGTTTTTTGCTACAGTAAACTCACCCACTAGCTTTTTTAACAAACTCCAGTATATCTTCCTCGGATCGTTCACCACGATGTGTATATATCGTGTCTCCATTAATGCTGAATAAAAGCATCAATATTGTTTTTTTGTTACATTTTTAGCTTTTTAAAAAAAAAATTATGTGCACTTTTTTAAAACAAAGACTCCAAATCAAATATGCCATCATATCATTATTATGTCTGTTACAAATTCTATAAAACTTAACATTTGAATTGGATCGTCATCATGGCCTATCTAACAGCAATTTTTACATATGATATGCAATGGTAATTTATTTTTCAATTTTTTGTACATTAAATTTGATTAAATTTCCACTCACAATTTAATGGTAGGAAATCCTGCCACATCGAAGGCTGAGGCTACAGCTGAGAAGCGCGTACAGTCCAGCTTGGCCACATTAACGGGGTGGTTCCTCAGCGTACTGGCTACTTGTTGATAGATTGGTTCTAATTTCTTACAGTGACCACACCATGGGGCATAAAACTAAACAAACATGTAAAAATAGCCCCTGTCATAATTATATAACTCTTCAACTAAATACAATTTAAACTGTCTAACTGTAAACTATAATTTAATAATTACATGTTCAGATACATGGCATCTAATTGTAAATTGATAAATTGCTTACGGTACATATCATTCTCTTAAAAGATTCTTCAAATTCATTATAAATATTCTGAATTATATATACTTTTTTAGTACATGTATTAGACTGTGACATTTGTTATTTTATTTGTCAGGCTGGTATAAAACATGGAAAGGATGCAAATGGACTTACCTCAACTAACCACATTCCCTCATTCCTTTTCTCTAAAAAGCTGGAAAGTAATCAGATTCAGTCACTTATACTATTTTAACACAAATATTACATACATATACACTATCTTCATATATTCAAAGATAATTTAATTTTCATCTTACATGTAAATTTCAAACAAGTTTTTAAACAATCACTATAGCTGTTTTTATAGAATGACATGTTGCAGAAAATTAAAGATATATTAATATATATATATATTAATTAGGACAGATAACTTTTACATTCTATGTTATTTGATTATTTAGTGGCCATTTGTATTTTTAAAAAAATCTTATTATTTAGTTACCTTTGATCAAGTTCAATTACATGTGACTTTATGGATCCGATAAGTAGGCCTAGAAAAAAGAAAAATATGTTTACATTGATACATAATAATCTGCCATTTGTTTAACAGGTAGGGGTGTTTATAATTAATTTCCCCTACTGAAACTTCTTTGATTTTGAACATGTTTCTGAAATGATAATACAAAAAAATCAGGAGACCAAAACATGAGTTACGGTAATTATTCCAATTTCATTTAGGCCTTACATCTTTTTTTTCTTTGGCTAGGGGGTAAACAAACAGGTACACATTTTGACTACTGTGTAATGACTTTGACTATGGATTAGAAGCCTGAGTAGCTCAGTTGTAGAGCACCTGACCAGTGGTGCAGCAGTCCCAGGTTCGATTCCCGTCCAGCCATACACTTTCTGCTTTCCTGATACACAATTTAATAGGTTGAACACCCCTGCTTGTGTCTTTGAAGGCAAAGGAGAGAGATAAGGAGAGAGGGACATAATGGTTTAGACTGTGGTCCTTATTGGTTTGGAGAATGTCAGACACCTCTGCCCAATGACACCTTGACCCACTGACATCTTGGCCAATACTTGATATCGCAATTACTCAACTTAGTGGAACTCTTTCGCGATGGAGGTAGTAAACGTCTTTTGGGTGGGGACAAATGTGCTGTTGAATACAATGCAAGATCGGTCATTGTAGAGTTTATAAGGATATATGAGTAAAAAATCCTGGTGGAATACCTTGCTTAAAAATTGCTGAACCAGCCTAATTAATTTTTCAGACAAGCTTATCCTAAAATGTTACATTTTTAACGATATTTTTAACTAAGCAGACTTTTCTCATAAAATTTTCATTGAAAATCGTCACATTTTAAAGCTGATAAAATATTCTAAACTTTCCTTAGTTGACAATATACTATTTGGAGTCCAATTCTTGGCAATACATTGTACTTTCGGCATTAAATTGATCGAATCATTTGATTGTTACTACTGTAAACAATGTCATGTGTCCCCAAAATCTAGAGCTTTCTCAGACTCTCCCGCAAAAGAGCGGAAGTAAGTTAGATAACTGCGAGGTACTCGCGATATTACGTATTACAGACAGGCCCAAGATTTAAGACAGGTTGGCCAGTCTATAAGACACCTCGGCCCAAGCAAAAGTTCATTGTGAAATGTGTTATAATTTCAATTTCATAATTTGCGACTTAAATAAAATATTTATTGAGTATTATAAAGCAGACAAATAATTCATTATTTTTTTAATTAAAAAAATCTCAATGAGTATATTGAATATGATCAAGGAATCAAAGTGCTAGTTCATAAACAATCAAAATAATACGGCACATCCTTTTGATTATCAAGTGTGTGTCATATAATAATTTAGAGGTTAATTATGAATAGGCTTAATACGCTATATCGCGACTACCAATGAGAACCTCGCAGTTATCTAACTTACTACCGCTCTTTTGCGGGGGAGTCGAGAAAAGTCTAATTTCTGGGAGCAAATGACATTGTAGTGACAATCGAATGATTCGAACAATTTAATGCCGAAATCACGATGTTTTGCCAGATATTGAACTCCAAATAGTAGATTGTCAAATAAGGAAAGTTTAGAATATTTTATCTGCTTAAAAATGTGACGATTTTCAATGAAAATTTAACGAGAAGAGTCCGCTTAATCAAAAATGTCGTTAAAAATGTGACAATTTAGGATTGGCTCCTCTCAAAAATATATTAGGCTGGTTCAGCGATTGTTTAGCGAGGTATTCCACCAGGATTTTTTACTTATCTGTCCTTATAAATGCTACAATGATCGATCTTGCATTGTATTGAATAGCACATTGCCCCCACCCAACAGTACATTCCTACGAAAGAGTTCCGCTAAGTTTAGTAATCGCGATACCAAGTATTGTGAGACAGTACATTTACATCCATTGAATATTGTCAGAGAAACAATGAAATAATACAATAACATACAATCTTTATAAATACATTTACAAATTTGTATGAATTTATGAAAGAATTGCTTCTATGTAGAAATTTAGTATTCATTAATTCTAAGCAAATATTTTAGGGCTGAGGTGTCAAATGCCCAGGTGTCTGTATACCGGGTTGGATACCAATTTTGAAAAATGTTGATGGTAGTACATCAAACAAAAATAACTATATAGATATCCATGGTCTGTATAGCCCAAGGTTCTGCAAGAGCTTCAAAAATTAAATAGCTTTATTAAGCAATCACAAATAAGCAACTTTTCCCTTTTAAGTTTTTCAATAAGGGACGTTAAAAAATCACACACAAATCAATGCATGCTGGCTTGTTTCAGTTATGAGATTCGAGGAAATTCTGACTACCAATGGAAATAATAAGGACCCTTGCAAAAACAAAATATTGGACATTTAATAATACTTTTGACATTTCGATATGAACAATACATGATTTTATAATACATAAATAAACACAATCTGAAACAAACCTAAAATTAAGGCAGATTGTACGGTTTTCATCTCTCAGCATCCCACTTCAGCCACGAACTATCTAATTTTCGATAGAGTCGAAATTATAAAATTTAAAATATCATAGACAATGAATAAAATTCCGGAATATTGGCATCTTCGCTAGCCAAGGGTTTCTGATACGCTTCTCTCCTTGATGAGGAGAGTAGCGTATCAGAAACCCTTGGCTAGCGAAGATGGAATATTGGAAGACAAAAGATTGTAAATTAATAGAGACCTAAAGGCACTCCCGTCTCCGATCCTCAGGTTCTGGAAATCAGGCATTGATTATGCTCACAAAAATGTCTCTGAATAACGTGTTTTTACCCTCGATTATTCCTCAAACCTCATCTGTAAAGCTATTCATAATTTACGGAAAATTAGAAAATCTCAAATAAATTTTCAGGAAATGCGAATAAAAACACATACAGTACTATGCATTTTCAAATTTGAACATATTTTAGAAATAAATATCACATGTATCCACTATCCAGGCTCATGAAGAATTTGCACAATTTTCATACATATATATATAAAATTTTGCCATAAGGTACCTAACTCAATTTCAGGCACTCCCGGTTCAAGCTCGTATTTTGTGTTAATATATTAATTGACCTACTTTTAAAATGACATCCTTTGCTTTGGGAAACTTTTTTCAGTCAATTAAATCGGTTCAGAGGTCCCTGGTCGACCTCTTTATTTGTTCTTCGAAAATTACCTCGATACAAAATAAGACAGTGGATGGGATACGTCAATTTTCAGTTGAAGATATCGATATAGGATAAAACCAGAGACTTCCGAGTATTCCATTCCGAAGCAAGTCTGTAACTGTCCATTCCTAGTTGAATCATCCATGCAAGTTTGGTCTAGGTAGGCCTTATAAATAGTCACTTGGGAATGGACCTGCTACAAAAACTTTAAGCAGGTCACTCATCTGGAAAATGTAGATCAGATCCAGCATCCGAAGCAAGTCTGGTAGAACCCATCCCAACATGCATTATCAATGCAAATTTGGTCTAGGTAGGTCTTATATAGTTACTTGGGAATGGACCTGCTCAAAAAACTTTAACCTGGTCACTCATCAGGAAAATGTAGATCAGATCGAGCATCTGAAGCAATCTGGTAGTGTTCATCCCTAGATGCATCATTCATGCACGTTTGGTCTAGATGGGGCTTATACTTAGCTAAATGCCGTTTGGAAATGACATTACTGACTCAGCAGATAATAGGATCGCAGAAGCAGGGATCAAGACAAGGACAGGAAGTAAGTGGTTAGCAAAAACATCAGTGAATCAAGCAGAGAGTATGCTATACTTACGAGACATTATTGGAAACACAAGCACTGGGCGACAGGACGTGGGAATGTCACACTTCCAGCAGTGGTCAAAAGCAACGGAGAAGCGCACCATGGTTCAGGCTGATGTACGGCATGCTGAAGAAGATCAACGGAAAGAAAATCAACAGAACTTGAAAAACAGGGGGCCTGGATCAAGTGGGACTTACCGGAGCGGGAATTAACCTGGGCAGAACTGTGGAGAAAAGAATCAGTTTAGAATCTCGTTCAGCTGAAATCAGTGCATGGCACACTCCAATCTTCTGTAAACTTGCAAAAGGCGGGGCTAAGCAAAGACCCTATAGCTGCAAGCTGTGTGGAAAGAGAGGGACAATGGCGCATATTCTATCAGGATGCGTTGACCCAGGGAAGATATAGATGGGTACATGACATGTCCTGCGGGAGTTGGCTGATGTGCTGGAGGTAGAAAGAAGAAGGAAACGACCAGCAGACAAGAAACAGAGACAGATACAGTTTGTGAGACAGGGTGATGCAAGGGCTGGCACAAGAGCGGCAAAGCGGACAGCACTGTTGGATAGAGGCCATGACTGAGAGCTCAGAGAGAATCGATCTAGACCGGAAGTTAGTTTTCCCTAACATCGTGGAAACCAACCTAAGACCAGACGCAGTTTTAGTGTCCCAGCAGTCGAAGACGTTGGTCGCAATAGAGCTGACTGTGGAATGGGAAGAAAATTTTCGGGAGGCACATGAGAGGAAGAGCCTTAAGTATGCAGACCTCATGGCAGACTACAGGGATAGAGGCTGGAGTGTCTGGCTGTTTCCAAAAGAGGTTTTCCTGCACAATCAGTGTGGAAGCTGCTTACACGATCAGTTGTATCAGGAAGAGCTTGCAAGACAGCAACAAGGAGACTGGGAGAAGCAGCAGAAAAGTTATCTTGCTGGATATGGCACCACCGAGATGATCTGTGCCGGAAGTCGGGTTCCATCGAGTAGTGGATAAGCCAGCTCTGCAGACCCACCAACTGGAGTATGTCATGGTTAAGGGTCGAAACATACAGTGAAGGTTGGAGACCATCTGACGACGATCGGAACCGCCAGACGAGCACTAGGCTTAGGGGGCAGAAGTTACAGGTAGCGACGGGCATGCTTTAAAGTGCCAAGTATAGACAGTTAACAGAAAACCATCTTCTGTAAATGAATACTATTAATCTGGAAAACCAGTGACTGCCAGGAAAGACAGAATGGAGACTGGGGAATACCGGTGACAAAGGAGAGACAAGTGACTGCCAGGAATAGTCTGGATACAGATACCAGGGGACTGCTTCCGTTTGTACAGTCCCTGTGAGTGGACATCGAAATTAGCTACGACGGAACAAAATGATCATCCCCACTGAGAGAAGGATGGTGCAACTAATATTAGATGGAGGAAAGGCTGACACCAGATGTACATGTGGTAAAGTCTGCAAGAACATCCGAGGACTGAAGATGCACCAACAAGGAGTCGATGTGGTAGTGTGACAACCCAGACACAGCACACAGAACTAACTGGTATGACGCAGAAGGATCCTGGCCAGGACACAATCCACAGAGCTAGGAACCTCTCCGTGTCTGAATCATCCCGGAACAGCAGCAACGACCTGATGGAGCAACTCGGTCTTCGAAATAGCCAGAGCCAGCAGACACAAAGAAACGACAAGGAAAAGAGGCCAAGGATATCTTGGCCGAGAGGAGATGATGAAGCCGTGCGGAGTGGCTTTGATGAAGATGTTAGCATGATCCTTGAGTCAACAATGCAATGGAATGTAGAGAGGAAGATAGAGGTACATACCAACATGGTGTACAACATTGGGAAAGAGCGGTTTCCAAATGTGGAGGTGAAAATGTTCATGTCAGTGCTAGCCAAGCGAATATCAGAGTACATGGTAGAGAACAGATACATCGATCCATCTATTCAGAGTGCAGGCGTACCTGGATGTTCTGGATGCGTAAACACAAGTATCATAAGTCAACTCACCAAAGAGGCCAAACACAACAAGGAAAAATTTGCAGTAATGTGGTTAGACCTACCCAACGCTTATGGATCTGTGCCCCACAAGCTGAATAAGTCGGTAATGGGGCTGTACCATATACCAGAGAAGGTTCAGGAGATTGTCAAGAGCTACTTCAAAGGGATGCGAATCCGGGTCACTGTCGATGACTACACCACATCCTGGCAAAGAGTAGAAAAAGGGATAGTCACAAAATGTACAATCTCTCCTATCCTGTTCGTAATAGGTATGGGTATGGTGACCAGGACTGCAGAAAGAGAAACAGGAGGGCCAAGGATGGACTCGGGGATTTATCAGCCACCAATCAGAAGCTTAATGGATTATCTCACTTTGACAACAACAAACCATACACAGGCGAGATGAGTCCTATCAGCATTGGAAGATAGCATTTCCTGGGCATGCATGAAGTTCATGCCAAAGAAATTCAGATGTTTCTTGTTAAGGAATGCAAATCAACAGGCAAGTCAAGATGCAAATTCAAGGAGAGGAGGTTCCATCAATAGTAGGAAACCCGATTAAGTGTTTGATGAAGTGGTCTAATGAATCCCTCACAGACAAAGATAGCATCGAGGACACAAAGAAAAAGCTCCTTGCTTGGTTGAAAAGGGTTGATGAAAGCGGAATACAAAATATAAGGCATGGATCTACGCAGGGGTGATAAGGAAGCATTCAGAAAATTCTAACTTGACTAAATCAGTGATACATTATGACGTCATAGTAGGGGAGAAGACGTCAATTTTAGAACACAAGGTTTCGTGGTATTGGTATTTAGAGATGTCATTTAACTCCAGGAAATGAATAGAAAGATGTAAACATTAACAAAAATGAAATGTTTTTAATTTGTTAAGCTGGATCTGTCATTTAGATTAAAATCTTCGGTATTATTTTTGGCATGACAGAGGAAATAAAAAAAATACTGAACAAAGGTAAGCTGGATATTTCAAAAGATAAGATTTGTACAGATCGAAAGCTTGCCATCTAAAATACTTGGAAGGTGCTGCTAGAATCCGGAGGTAAATTGGCTTTCACTACAAATCTCAGGTTAAATTCAAAACATCAGGTGAGGTTTCGTGCGAAAGTGTGGAATAATTATTTTTATTGAGCGGATAATGGGATTCTAGCAGCACTATTTAGGCATAAGAGATATTTTTCAACTATATTATTTACTCAAAGAAGTTGTTAAACCCTGGGGTATTGTTGTTCTGTTAGCTTTTTTTTAATTAGGGAACAAATCGCTATTAGTAGAAGTCACGTGATGGTGGTGCAGGTCTTTACCTGAGACACTCCACAGTAGTTAATCATAGTTTATATTTTATCAGAGGCTTTGGTAGATTATCAAACTAAATTTTCTAGAAAAAGTCTGATTTTCCAGAGAAATGATATGAATGCTTTCTTTAACATACCTGCGTAAGAAATTGGGATCTTACCTGATTGCTCCTCATATATGAAATTGCAACTACAACAGTCGAAGCCATGGAAAGGAATTTTAGTGGTTATCTGAGGAGATGGCTAGGAGTTCCACCATAATTTACATATATAGGACTCTACAGAAACTCAGCCCAATTACGCATACCAGTTTCCTCTGTAGTACTGGAAGAATTCAAGGTAGCAAAATGCCGCTTGGTAATGACGATACGTGACTCACGTGATAACAGGGTCACAGAAGCAGGGATCCAGACAAGGACAGGAAGAAAGTGGTCAGCAAAAAACATCAGTGGATCAAGCAGAGAGTATACTATACTTACGAGACATCATTGGAAACACAAGCAATGGGCGACAGGGCATGGGAATGGCACACTTCCAGCAGTGGGCAAAATCATCAGCATCAGAAAAGCACACCATAGTTCAGGCTGAAGTACGGCGCACTAAAGAATATCAAGGGAAAGCAAAATCAGTAGAACTTGAAAAAGCAGGGGGTCTGAATGAAGCGGGAATTAACCTGGGCAGAACTATGGAGGAAAGACCACTAGAATGTCGTTCCTGATGAGGACAGTGTATGAAAACTTCCATCTCCTATAAACTTGCAAAAGTGGGGGCTAATCGAAGACCCTAGCTGCAAGCTGTGTGGAAAGAGAGGGACATATTCTTTCAGGATGCCAAATTGCGCTGACCAGGGAAGATAAAGATGGCTATATGACAAAGTCCCGCGGGTGTTGGCTGATGTGCTGGAGGTGGAAAGAAGAAGGAAACGACCAGCAGACAAGAAACAGAGACAAATACAGTTTGTGAGACAAGGTGATGCAAGGGCTGGCACAAGAGCGGCAAGGCGGACATGATCAGTGTTGGATAGAGGCCATGACTGGGAGCTCAGAGTGGATATAGACAGGAAGTTAGTTTTCTCTAACATTGTGTAAACCAACCTAAGACCAGACGCAGTGTACCAGCATTTGAAGACGTTGGTCGCAATAGAGCTGACTGTCGCCATGGGAAGAAAATTGTGGGGAGGCACATGAGAGGAAGAGCCTTAAGTATACCGACCTTATGGTAGACTGCAGGGATAGGGGATAGGGTGTCTGGCTTTTGCCAGTAGAGTTCGGCTGTAGAGGTTTCCCAGCGCAATCAATGTGGAAGAGCTAGCAAGTTAGCAGCAAGGAGACTGGGAAAATCAGTAGAAGAGTCATCCTTCTAGATATGGCACCGCCGAGATGATCTGTGATGTAAGTCGGGATCCATCGAGTAGTGGATTGGCCACCACTGCGGACCCACCAACTGGAGGATGTCATGGTTAAGGGTCGAAACATCCAGTGAAGGTTGGAGACCATCTTAACACGATCGGAACCGCCAGACTAGCATCAGAGGGCGGAATTTACAGATAGCGACAGGCATGCTTAAGAGTGCCATCTTCTGTAAGTGAATACTTGGGAATGGATCTGCACCTAAAATTTTAACCGGGACGCCGACGCCGGGGGTACAGCATAAGCTTATCTCGTCTTCGTCGAGGTGAACTAAAAGTATCAATAAATATAGAAAGAGATTTCACCGAAACTTATACAAGAAAAGAAGATGTATCTTGGTCTTCCATTCAAACATACACCAAGATTCTTCAAACGCAGATCCAGCACCGGTGCACCAGGCGTAAACCCTACCCCCGTTTTGATTTTTTTTTTTTTTTGTATTTTCTTAAAATCAAGGGAAATCCATCTTATTTGTTAGAAAACCTCAGTTTCCCCCCCCCCCCCGTACCCCACCAAAGCTTTGCCCTGGCCCTGCTTGGGCTTCGATGCAGCTTTAGTCATATCCCACATCTAAATTGATGTACCCCATCTTTTTGGTTTTTTTATCTCCTTATATACCAGATTTGACACCCCCACCGTTACCGATTTTTGATCTCCCTATATACTTGTTTTTGACCCCGCCCCATACCGGTTTTTCGAACCATCGGTTTTTGATCTACCCCATAACCGTTTTTTTATCTCCCTGTATACCAATAATTGATCTCTCTATATTCCTGTATTTTATCTCCCATTTTACCGGTATGTTACGTCTGGTTACCTGGATTATTGTTGATGAGTTAAACTTCCATTTGTATGTCACGTTGACTTTCAGTTGAATGATTTTCAAACTAGAGTGCTTTGTACAATAAAAGGACAACTGAGATAAAAGTAATACCTTTTTTATTAATTTTCTAAAATACAAATAGTTATCGTATTAAACAGAATTTTATTTTTGAAAAAAAAGACACAAAAAGGAATATTTTTCGTTTGAAAAAAATTCAGAAAAGATAAATATCACATTTTTAGGTAAATCCACCGGTTTATAATTAAACCAGGCCTTATCACAGAAAAAAAAGAGATCACAGAAAAAAGAGGTAAGTCACTTTGAGAACTCTCTTGCTCCACAAGCAATAGGCAATCCTCGGCTGGCTCCGCTACGCTCCATTCAAACCTCTGATGTGATAGGTGGAATAATACGCATCAAGTCAATAAATTTTTATGCAGGAAACTGCCTCGTCACTTATTTCAAATTTCGCTCTGCATAAAGTTTTTCGTAAAGGTTTTTTAACTTGCCTAATTCTTCATTTTATATTGCTTTCATTGACAACCATATGTTACTAGTCTTTGAAAGCAAAATGATAGTGTTGGGCGTCATGCGCGGATCTAGAGGGGGGTGGGGGGGGGGTCAGGACCCCCTCCTGAAATTTACCAGGTTAAAACATAGGTAATCAGAGATTACAGAGCTCACCTCAACGAATGTTGTCTTTAAGTAAGGCAAAGTCACACAATTACCCAACAAAAAAGTGTACATCCAAAAATGCAAAATTTATGCAATTTTGATCTGATGTTTTGGAATAGACCTATATAAAAACTTCAAGCTAGTTCTTCATCATGAAAATGTATCTAAAATCCAGTATCTGAAGCAAGTTTAAGAGTTTTCATCCCTTGATGCATCATTTGGGCAAGTTTGGTTTATTTAAGCCTTATAGTTTCTTAGTGATAGACCTGCACCCATAACTTTTACCTGGTCCATTTTCTGGAAAATGTATATCGAATTCAGCATCCGTAGCAAGTCCATTAGTATGCATCCTAAGATGTATCATCCATGCGAGTTTGCACAACATAGGGCTAATAGTTACTTAGAAATGAAACCTGCAAAAAAATTCACCTCTTCACTCATCCAGAAAATTTTTTTAGGTCAGATTCAGCATCTGAAGCCAGCCTAGTAGAATGCAACAACCTTAGATGTATCATCCATGCAAGTTTAGTCAACATAGGACTTATAGTTCCTTGGAAATGAGACCCACACCAAAAACATTAACCTGTTCACTCAACCGGAAAATTTAGGTCAGATTCAGCATCCGAAGCAAGTCTCCTAGTGTTCATCCATAGATGTATCATCAATGCAAGTTTGGTCAACAGAGGACTTCTAGTTACTTGGAAATGAGACATGCACCAAAAACATTAACCGGAAAATGTAGGTCAGATTCAGCATCCAAAGCAAGTCTGGTAGTGTACATCCTTAGATGTACCATCCATGCAAGTTTGGTCAACATAGGGCTTATAGTTCCTTGGAAATGAGACCTACACCAAAAACTGCACCAAAAATGTTAACCTGCTCCAAAAACATTTACCTGATCATTCCTTTGCTGAAATTGCAGCATCAGAAACATTAACTTGTACAATGAAACACATTAGATGCATCTTCCATGCATGTCTAATCAATATAGGACATAGAAGTACTTAAAAAGAAAACTGCTCCAAAAAACACCTTAACCTGGGAAAATGTACGGTCAGGGTATTCAGCATCCAAACTTTGTTGAGGTGAGCTAAAAATGTATATACTAAAAGAAGAAAAAAGTTACCATGGACCCCCCTTGAAAACGTTTGGTAAACGCGAATATGTGTGAAATGGGTATGAAAAGAGAAAGATTTGAGGCAATAGAAGTCACTAAACGCGAATATGTGTGAAATGGGTATGAAAAGAGAAAGATTTGTGGCAAAAGAATCATTCCCCCCCCCCCCCCCCCCACGAAATAGGTTTTTGACGTTTGGGCGAGTTTAGGTTTTTTTTTATGCTTGTCAAGAAATTTCTTGGATTGGATTTTTTTTTCCATGCATGTCTGGAAAAAAATATAGGCGCCTGCATACAAAGTACTCAGATTTCAAAAGAAACATTTGAATGAAATTCAAATAAAATCACATGACTCAAAGATGGTAGATCACCTTTGACGTTTGAGGTTAGTGTGCGAGATACGAGCCACCCGAGGATCTCCGAGTAATCATAAACCAAAGTGTTGATACATGTACTTTTTTAATTGATGCGAACTCGATAAATTCGATAATACGAGAAAGGGCTTCAAATGATTTGTATATGTTCATAACTTTGATATAAAATTAAGACAAATACGGTATCTCATTTTTAGGAGACAGTGTCAAGTATATAAAAAATATTCATGCTAATGAGAAAATAAGTTATGATGTAAAATCGTCTAAATAGACTCTGTCACTGAGTCATTGTTTGATGACTAGAAAAGGACATGTGCATCGTCGATGTTCGTTTTTATAACTGTTAATAAAAACATATTGTATCCGTAACCAAGACATTGTGTTACTAGTTTCTCGCTTTACTTCTTTCTAGTAAGTTGTTTGATTATTGTTCCTGTCAATTCTTCCATATCTACAGGATCCCCGGGGTTACTTTGCAGCCTACAAACAGAACGCACACTGTACATTGTACATGTCTGATTAATTTATTTTAAAAGAGAGAGAGAAGGAGTGAGAGACATTAATATACCTTGCTAGTTTCTTTTCCACCTGGATGGCCACTACCTTTGCAATTGTTTCCTCAGTGAGTGCTGATTCTTTAGCATCTTCACTTCTTTTCTTCATGTACAGATAAACCATCTCTCTCTCTAGGCTAAAGTACAGGTCCATCAGTTTAAGGCTAGTCATCACTATTTTTTTTGTAATAAAATAAAGGTTCTTAATAAAGAATTATTCAGAATGTAAATAGTACTGGTGAAAAATTTATATCACACAACAGGTTTTAAACATGCATTAAATATTTACCATAGAATGCCAGAAAATTAATTAACTTCATCATAATAAAGCCTGTTATTAAGGTTGATTGGAAGATATTTTACAAACTCTTTAAAACTAAATGATATTTTGTAATTTAAAACCGAAGGCGAAATATTTCAGTAATAGTTCTTACGAACTTACGCTCTTTATCATGATCCCTAACGGTATTGCACTGCTTGCATTTTTTATATATCCCCTTAAAAACATAGAAAATAAACACAGGAACACCGAGTGGCATTGGTATGATTGGATACCGTCGGAACTCTCGCACCAAAGCGTATCTTTCGTAATTCCACTTATTGTCCCTTTTTTCCTGAATTCTTTGATAAGTATCGCTGAAAGATCAAAAGAACAAACTATGTTATCGTCTTCTTATTAGGTCGACTCGGACATGTTAATAGTTATCCCATCTGTCATGATCATTTCTCCATAGTAAATCTCGCAAAATATCAAACACAATATTTTCTTTATGAACATGCTCCCATGTTATATAGCATTGTTCATTAATTATCAAAAAAGCATGGCTGGTTTTTAATTTTTCAGAGATTTTACAAAAGTTTCATATCTGGAACTGCAATGCATGTCCATGGATATATGCGCACTTACGTAAACATAGCTATAAGAATATTAAGTAGCATAACATTGGCGAATATCAAGTAGATCCCCATCATAATCAGACCAATGATTCTTCGGTGTTTTACGGCACATCTTGGTAGAGTCCCTGCATTGTACACCGTTGCGTTAAAGGAACAGTCAGGTTCTTCCGCTGTAAATATAAATAGCATTAAAATAAGTCATATAAATGCGGTATTTTTCGTATTCAAATTGGGAAACTAAAAAAAAAAAATTAAAGAAAGGCAATCAAAGATTACCTCGAAAAAATGTTACTAAGAAATAAGGCAATAAGTGTGCATCCCTAGAACAATAGACATGCAAGATTCGTAGATAGTTTTACTAAGAAATAGACCTGCTTTAAAAACCTGTTCACCAATCGACAAAAAATGTTGGTCAAAAGCAAGTCTTAAAGTATCCTTTCTCAGATACATTATCCATGCAAGTTTCCTTTGAATTATAGAGCTACTCAAAAAATTACTGTGGTCACATATCTGAAAAATATAGGTCAGATTCAGCATCCGAAGCAAGTCTTATAGTGTCCATCACACGATAAATCATAATCTGACTAGAAAAAGCTAAAATTCACTCATCTGGAATAAAAAGGGACATATCCAGCTTCCGAGGCAAGTTGGTGAATGTCCATCCATATACGCATCATCCATGTAAGTTTGATCCAGGAAGAGCTTTCAGAAGCTTGGAAATGAACCTTCTCTAAAAACTTCAACTCAGTCACATATTGTGAAAATGTAGGACAGATCCAGCATCCTAAGCAAATCTGGTAGTGTCCGTCCCTAGATGCAACATCCATGCAAGTTTGGTCCAGGTTTGTTACTTGGGAATGGATACGTCAACACAGGGGGTATAACATCACCGCATCATCAGGTGATCTAAAAATCTAACCTTACATTCGTTTTTTTTATTTACATGTGAATTAGTGAGTTGTGTCAAATAACATACCTTCAATATCTTCTAGAAGCAATTCTCCGTAGAGATTCCAGTATCCGAGACGCATAACATTAAAAACGAGATCAAAACTTAGTTCTGACCGTGGATACATAATGGAGTATGCTGCCACGGCATATGATATGACAAATAACATCAGTATAATAACAAAGTAGAGCAGGTCCTTGGCCTACAATAATAAAATGGAATAGTTGAGGATAGGATTCAATCTTTTAGATGCTCTTTTAGCATTTATGGATAATTCTCACATACTTCAATTTCGCAGAAAATTTGGTAAACTTATTTGTATCAACATATATTATTACCATGGAAGCAATCATCCAAACTTTAGGTCCTAACTCCTCAAGTGCAGAGAATGTCTTCAAAATGCGCATGAAAAATGCTATAAGACTAATTGCAAGGAAAACACGTCCCACTTCCATAGTCTCATAGTATCCAAGCACATCCAAAATTGCACCAATGGTGAAGAAGCAAAGAATTGTCAAATCGAAGTAGTTCCACTTGTCTTGAAAGTAGATTTGTACCAAATACGGTCGCTCTGAGATGTATTTTTCACCCAGTTGTTTCTTGAAGTCCGCCAGCCCATACACAAGCTGAATACATAAAAACAGAGTAAATATTCATTGTGAGGAAATGTTCAGGGTAGTACAGCCATGTTATTCATATATGGAAGAGAACAAACCTCTCGAACTTCATCCAGCATCAAACTGAAGACCCAGCAGTACATCAGAATTTCGACCCATGTTACAGTATCCCCAAAACCAGTCAGAAGAGAATAGCTAAAGAACGCCAGGAATATCATGTAGGATGCCTGAAAGAGAATGCTTTATTGCTTATAGTGTACATGCATGAAATATATGATGATAACGAACGGTATTCAAGCTGAAAATCCATTAATTGGCATTAAACAATACAAAATTGGACCATAGAAAACACGGACTCCTAAACATCAGAGGTGGGATAATATACCGTGGAGGAGTATGCATCCCCCGCCGACCGGTCACACCCGCCATGTGCTTATTGTTATGATTAGGAAATAACGGTAAAATTTATCGACAATTCAGTGGTATATAATGGCCTAACAATAGGTATAAAAACATTAGTCAGCATTTGACTCAATGATAATTTTAATTGCTAATAAAGTCATTGTATCGACCATATAGCTAACGAAAAATGATAACTTTAAACGAGACTGCTGTTGTACTTGTTTGTTAATAACTTTCCTCGTTTTAAAAATTGCTCATAAATAGACCATGCTTTTGCGTATCAAATTAAATAAGAGATATAAACACCGTTTGCAAATAATAAAGCTTGGCTGTTATATCACCAGTACAATTTCACGTAACGTCTTTTTCTTGTAAAATACTAGTATCCAAATAAGAAACAAATGTGTCAGAGTCTGTGATATCTTTATTTTCCGTTTACTGATATACATATAATATCATAGTTTCTACGAGACTTACCATTGTGTGAGAAAATCGCATAATCGGGGCAGTATAAAAATTATAAATACGTTTCCATACTCTGGTCATACAATTGGCATCATCCTATGTAGGAGAAAGAATAAATGTGCATTTTATAATCGATATTAGTGAAAAATTATCGCAGGGATGCAAAACTAGTTTGATATATTACCATTAAATGCATATACTGTAGACGTACTTTTTTCCACGGGGTCATAATTCCACGGAATCTCAATTTCTGTTTAATCCGCGGGTAGAAAATTACGCGGATTTATTCACTATATGCCATACATTTATATTAAGTACGCTAGGACATATTTCCGCGGAAAATTTGTGTCCGCCTACACAGCGTAAATTAATACCACGCGGAAAAAAGTACTTCTACAGTATATATTTCAATTTGTTTCAAGCATCAAGCAGGATATATTAATTTTATATGCACAAATTCAGATTTCTCATAATGAATAATTCATCACCAACCTTTTTCACAGAGTTTGACTTTGCAAATTTGAGTACAAAAGGAAACAGACCAAGAAAGAACACCGATATAGTCAACTGAAATAAAGTATGGTATAACATCAAAATTTAATTTGTCCCCTACGTTAAAAACAATGTACAGAACATTTCCTTCAAGCATTAATTGAAATTTTGTTGATCACCTGTAAAGCACTGTTGTCCGGTGAGATTTGTTTATACCAGACTCTGTTAATAGGAATTTTACAGGCTTCATGTGACATAAAGGAATGGACTTTCATTTTGTAAGCTATTTCTAAACAGGTCAAGTTTCGCCATCGGGGGCGTTTTCTGGTCAACATGCGCTCTGTTTCATCTGGATTATCTTTATAGAACTGAGTAAGGACTCCGCAGGCCAACGATTGGAACTCCCTACGAAGTAATGCAGTTATGTTCATACACAGGAAAACATGGAAAACAAAAAAAAAGCAGACGACCAACCCCCAAAAATAAAACAACATACAGTTCTGATTCAAGGAGTCTGTCTGCCAACAGCTTATTTGCAGACTGACATTTCTTCCTCATGGCTCTATAGATTCCACATGCTATCAATGCCGAGGGTAAGGGCTCCTATTTTAACACAAAAAAAATTTTCAGATGTAAATGTTTTTTTAACATTTCTATCATAAAAAAATGAATTTATAGACACACTGTATAATTACATAATTTTTTCATTCGACTTCTAATCACTTTATGCAAATAATATTTAAATTTCAATTTTCCTTCAACCTCTTAGCACTTCATGCAAATGATAAATAAATTTCTCTTATAAAGATCCCATATACCTTGCAGTGTTGCCAGAAAAATTTGGCTAGGTCTTGGAGATTCATCATCAGTATGGACCACACAAGGAGATAGAAGTAAGGATCAGACTGACTATCCGAAGATTCCATATGTTTCAACGTATCAATAAGTCCTTCATTGGTGAAGGTCATAGCTCTTACAGGATCTGTAAAATTTAAAATATACACAAATGATTCTTCTAAAGGAAAAACATTAATAAACTTTCTTTTATCATGTATTTGAGATGTGTGTGCTGAGGAAGAAGTTTGGAAATGTAACTTCCTGTCCAAGGAACTCAACAGTTCAATGAAAATACATTTCACTTATAAAGGTAATCTGTCTAAATATTTTCTTCTGTATAAGACCCATAAAGGTCAATGTATATTTGCACAATTTTACTTTGTGTCCAGTTTATCTTTAAGAAAGAATCAATGCTATGGCTTTCTGCATAAGTCACAAGACTTTACAATTCATTTGTGTGGTATATATTATTTATGTTTACGTGTTATTATAATTTCCTAGTATCTCGGTTGGCATACACCACGCAGTCTTAAGTTTCGAATTAGTTAAACATCAAAGGTTATTTGATAATGTTAAAATGAAGGTTTCAATATTTAAAATTGATGACGATTAATTGATAATATATTTTTTTTTATTTTAATATAAACACATATAACGTTCAATATTGATACTTGCCTTTTCTATTGCCAAGATCATAACTCATAAAAACATCTATCTGCAGGATTCGGACCACGAACCTCATGACATTCTCCACTGTGGGTTCCACATCCCAACCCAACTTTATAATAGAAATATCATATAAAGAATGACAAACGATTAGAACAATCTAATTCAGATAAGCTGTGTACCCCGCTGAAGAAAAAAGAGCGGAAATACCGAGGTGAGAGGGTCGGTGGGACACTTTAAAAGGGTCAGGTAGGGTCATTATGAGGGATTTATGAAATAAAATTTCATTGCAAAAGATTCGTTTTACATACAAGCAAAATGTATGAATTAATTACCTTGACTTTTGTCCTTCTGATCTTAAAATAAAAACGGGTCTTTCTTAGGTCAACGAAATTTGAGGTATAAAATAAATATTGCATTGCAAGAGCGAAAAGCCTTCTCTAGATATCGACGGAGACGAAATGTGAAAAACATACAGAATTTATGAATTTATGACTTTGGCACGTTGAGTTTTGACCTAAAAATCAAAAAGGGGCCTTCCTTAGACCACAGAAATTTGTTGTAAAAGCTAAAAGGTTTCTCAGTATATCGCGCGGAAACAAAAATGATAAAGACAGAGAGAAAGACAGCCAGATGGACGGACGGATAGACCTATATTAACTTTAAGGTAAAGCAGAACATAGCAATATTAACTTTACCTTATAAAATCATAGTAATAGGTGTTTCAAAAAAAAAAAACTTAATGAAACTTTTTACAGGACAAGTTCTCATTTAACTGCAGAAAACTCTATTTTCATTACCTGTCTCTTGAGTTCCTCTGGAATCTTAAACAAAATAAAAAATAATAATAATTCAATATTAAAGGGTTAGGTTCTCGGGAAAATATGTATTCGATCAAATGATCCAGAAAAAAACTCTTGCTTTATGTTTGCACTATTCAGGACGATCAACTTATGTATTGAACATGATACATTTCTTATTTTGTTGAATAATGCCTTTGAGATTGAAAAAATAAAAATACAGTAAAAATAAGAAAACATGCATTTAACTCACATCGTCCTCCTGAAACAGTTTGTGGTAATTCTCTCTCGTAAATTTGTTGATATCAACACACTCTTTGATTAAAAGTCTTACAAAATCCTTCTTTCCATCTTTCATTGCACGAATCATAAGCTGGTTTTTGAAAGCATCCTAAAATTCAACAGAATTGAACAGCGAATTGATTAGTATTTTTCTACTTTGGCTTGATATCAGTGAAACTTGGTACACAAGTACAACTTTGTAGTAATCATGTTGATGATTACACCGTTAACAAAAAAGAACAGTGCAAAACAAGTATCTTGTAATATTTGTGAAATTGTGAAAGAAGGATCTTAATTCAAATCAGACTTAAAACTGTACTTGAAGGCACATTAGAGTGGAATTCCAGTATTTTTTCTAATTTCAATTATCCTAACAACGCTATTCATTGTCCGCGTGGTGCAGTGATTGAGGCATAAATTTGCTTTGGGTTTGCGGAGTAGGGAGCTGATTCTTGCGTCACATGTTCGAATCCCACTGCAGGACTGAAGACTAATACATCGGATGAGACGTTTTAACCGAAGTTTGTGCCCAAAGTGCACTGTATAGGTCTCAATTTGCAGCCCTTCACCGGAAAGTGGGGACCACTCAATGGGAATGAAAAATTCTCCAAAGGGCATTCAACAGACAAAACAAAACAAACAGCAAGATTCGTAATAATACAAAAAGGATAAATAGAATGATACATCTTTGTGCTGTTTAATTGTTTACCGAGTTTGTTTCTTTAACTGAAATCCATTCAGTGGGAGGGGAGCGACCAAATTTACAGTTTGTATAAATGATTCAAAGTTTTATTACCGTTAAATTAGGTTTGTTTTTGGCAAAAACGTGTTCCTTTGCTTTTTCACTACTGTTAAACGCCATCGTCAATCGCAGTTTCTTCTCATTTGATTCTAAAACAGATTTTGATTTGAGAGGGAAATAGTTTGCTTGTTTGTAAAAATCATCAAAGTGGACTGGTTTTGTTAATATTTTTTTATTTTTCTTTCAACATACACTTGTGTTGAGTTTTTAATGCAATAATAGGTTACTAAATGAACAAGCTGTATAATATTAGAGTAATTTTAACAACATTTTTTTCTGCTAAACCACTGAGCTAATCTTTAAAATGTTTTACTTACCCATAACATCTCGAAGGAGTACTTCTATAAGCACCATATCAAATTCACAGGTTTCATCATTTAGATCCACGAATATCAGGCATTTGTTGTTTTGATGATTTACTATCTCCATCAGCTTGCTGTCCTGCGTTCTGCGTGGTAAAATAAGAGCATACACTATTGAATACTACTGAATACAGTAAAGCGGGTTATTTAACCCGCTAAAATCCTAATCGCTAAAATCTTAGTGTTCATCTGCAAAGAGCTGAATTCCCATTTCCGCTAAAATAAATTACGCCAGAATTATTGGCATAAATTTGAGCAGGCAAAACGCCAAATTTTACACGGCCAAGAAAACCCGCTATATGGTAATTAGACTTCGTCTAGCCTCAATATTCGTAGAATTCGTGGGTAACCCTTAATCATCCTCTTTAAATTAAAAACAAGTCCTTTAAATGGAATTAAAATTCGTAATATTTTATACGATTCGTCTTACCTGATTTGATGTTCTGTGATAGATGCAAGGATATCGGCAAGTCCTCCAGTTCCCTGAAAGAAAACATAAAATACAATCCTTTAAAAGAATGACCGATTACATGTGCAAGAAAAAATTAGACTATGTAAATTCCCAAAGAAAAACACCAGTTAGATATTGCTTTTTTTTCAAAACATTTTACACATTAAGTAGTTATTATGAATGATTTGTCAACTGCTTTTCCGTTATTTCCCGATCATGACAAGGGGCACACGTCGGGTGTGACCAGTCCGCAGGGAATGCTCACTCCTCCATGGCAACCGTTCCTACCTCTGATGTTTTGGAGGCTCATGTTTGTTCTACTCCGACTTTGTATAGTGTAATGGATTTAAAGCTTGAATTCTGTTCGTTATCTCCATGAAAACTTTTAACACACCCTTCTCATTTAAAAACAATGATGTAACTTGAAAACTAACCTTTAAGACTATGACATGTCTGCCGACATCTAAAGATCTTCTAATCATGCTGACAGATTGATATTGGTCCCCTTCCACAACCAAGAGAACGGAAGGAACCTCTACCGAATCGTCCTCCTCTGAAATAGACAAGCAACGAATCTTAATAATAAATATTGCAAACATCTCTGACTTCGGTCAAGGCTCGCATTTTCATTCAAAGGAATTTGATTTATTATTTTCTCTCCTCTTTGCTCTTGCAATATTAAGTCCAAAAAGAAAAAGAAAAGAAGAGAGCGAGAAAGAAAGACCTGATTTGTTTATTTCAAATCTTCCACGTCGAATGTACTCCTCTAGATTTGCTCTGAGTCTGGCAGTGGAGACCATATAGCTGGATCCATTAACATTCTCCACACTTTTCTCGGGCAACAGAAAATGAGTGCAGAACGGGTTAAGATGGTAGTCTCCCGGAGCTGTCGCTGCCTCACGTGTATTGTACTGTGCTGGCCACCTACCAAAACCCTGCCAATTTAATCAAGTTAATAATTACGATGGTTGTTCGACATGGAATGTGTATTGTACCACGGCGCGATGACAATTTGCACGATTTCGTGGGTGATGATACTAATGAATACAAATAGTTATATTCTATTTGATGATTTTTCAATGGTAACACAAGACCTAGGCTCCTCATCGCTTTAAACTTATAGTTATCTGTGTAGAGCCAGGCTTCGGCCATTTTTATTTTTAAAAAATGGTCGTGAAACGGTCCGAGAATATCGAAAACATAAAACTTGGTCATTTAGTAATACAGATTTTTGTTGAATGGGGGGAGTGTACGGTCTGATAAGGTATATTATAAGACAGTTTGTAGGTATATTATAAGACAGTTCAAAAGTGTAGGTAATATTGCCAAAGCTATTGGTATATCGCTATCACAGGTGCATTTCAATGTGAAGCGTATTTTTTAAAATAAGACACATCTCTGCCATATTTATATCGCATTTTTTGACAGATTATCAAACATAGGTAATAAAAGGTTACAGAGCTCACTTCAACGAATGTCTTTAAGTAAGGCAAAGTCACACAATTAACCAAAATTCTAAAAGTGTACGTCGTCCAAAAGTGCAAAATTTGTGCAATTTTGATTTGATAAGGCTTACAGTTACTTTGGAATAGACCGATCCAAAAACTTCAAAATAGTCGCCCATCAAGAAAATGTAATTCAAATCCAGCATCTGAAGCAAGTGTGAGAGTTTTCATCCCTTGATGCATTTGTGCAAGTTTGGTTAATATAGGCCTTATAGTTTCTTGGTCATAGACATGCACCCAAACTTTTACCTGGTCCATTATCTGAAAAATGTATGTCGAATTCAGCCTCCGAAGCAAGTCTTTTGGTGTGCATCCTATTATCCATGCACGTTTGGCCAACAAGAGGCTCAAAGTTACTAAGAAATGGAAACTGCACCAAAACTTAAACCTGTTTACTCATCCGTAAAGGCCCTGTCACACCAATCTGAGTCCACAGGGAGTCATTACGTCGTTGTTAAATTTTTAAAATCGCCGTGGAATCGCAGGGAAATTGCACAAATTTCTGTAAAATTTTCACAATGTGAAGATGTCACGGTGTCCCTACGGCGACCGGCGCGTTTCTACGGCGTTCTCACGGCAATCTATTGCGTCCCCACGGAGATTTCTTCCCGATTGACTGCGCTTCCGAGGAGTTCTCACGGCGTGTTAGGAGTTTTACGGCGTTCTCATTGCGCTAGATGCGTTCACAGTACGTTTCCAATGCGTTCTTCACCCATGGATATATATTCATCAAGAGTGTAAAACATTTTTGCTTAAAGATTCAAGTAACACTTCTATTAATGCCAAGAAATATAATTCTTAATTAAAAATGATCTACATTACTTTATTAGTACTAAATTATTAATAATTTTATAATTAAAGTCCTCCTATTTTCAATTTCAACGTGTTGTTATAATTTCTTTGACTTTGACTTCTTTGAACACACTAAAAAATGTTGCTACAAATATTAAGTTTTTCCATCGCAGTTTCACTGAAACAACAAAAGATGTTCTGGTGTAATTTTCTCTTCCCAATTTACTGTAGAAGTACTTTTTTCCTCGTGGTTTTAATTTACGCTATGTATGCAGTCACAATTATTCCGCGGAAATTTGTCCAAGCGTACTTAACATAAATGTAAGGCATATATTGTCAGACTGACAGTCTTAAGATATCCGCGTAATTTTCTAATTGCGGATTAAACAGAAATTGAAATTCCGCGGAATTATGACCACGTGGAAAAAAGTACGTCTACTGTCCTTTAATGCTCCTAGTGCAACAAATACGTTATAATTATTGCTGATCAAATATGTGGCCATCGCTCTTGTTTTGTGAGCTGGTTGACAACGCTCTAACAACGCCGTAAAAGCGCATTGTGGTCGCCAACGAACGCTGTAGAAACGCCAAGGGATCGCAGCAATCGCAGTGACAACTCCGTGTTGTCGTTGTGTCTTATCGCAGTCAAAAAAATAGCAAGACGATTAATCTCATTACAGGCGCCGTAAAAGCGCGATAGACACAGTGACATCTCCAAGATGTCTCCGTGAGGTCTCCGTGGAAGAGCAGTCTACTATCACTGCGTTCATGCTGCGATCATGTACGTCTTCTCGGCATTCACATGGAGCTTCCACTGCATTGTTGGAGATCTCACCGCGCTGCTACGGTGATCATACTACGTTTCTACTGCGTTCTTATCAGACTGCGATCACATGGCGCGTACTTTGTGCGTGCCCAAAGTGATCACCGTCCCTTGGCGTTCTAGGAGACCCTACGCGACTCTACTGCATTAAATGGAGATCTCGCTGCGTTGCCATGGCGCTATAGGAAACTCTACTGCGCTCATCTTGCATTTTTATGGACGCCGTGCAATCGCCCTGAGGACGCAGTCCCGTTGTGACATGGGTTTGAAATGTAATTCAGATTCAGCATTCGAATCAATTCTGGTAGTATGCATCCTACGATGTGTCACCCATGCAAGTTTGGTCATTAAAGGGCTCATAGTAACTAGGAAATGAAACCGGCACCAAAAAATTTAATCTGGTTACTCATCCGAAAAATGTAGGTCAGATTCACCATTCGAAGCACACTTTGTTGTATGCATCCTTATATGTTTGGTTTGGTCAACATAGGGCTCATAGTTACTTGGAAATGAAATCAGCACCAGAAACATTAACCTGTTCACTCATTGGAAAAATGTAGGTCAGAGTCAGCATCCAAAGCAAATCTAGTAGTGTGCATCCTTAGATGCATCATCCATGCAAATTTGGTCAACATAGGACTTACAATTACTTGGAAATGAGACCTACACCAAAAACTGCACCAAAAATGTTTTTGTGGCTTCTTCCATTGTTACTTAAATATGAAGGTGAGTACATCAAGAGACAAATACCTAAACTGAGTAAAACTGTCATATGACAACATTAAATTTTTCATATAATTAATAACATATACCAATAAAAAGGACAGGCAGATGGACGAAGGTAGTCATTAAACATAACCATGATTATTACCTGACCTTTGATAAATACCGATAAAATTGATAACATACGTTTTTAACAAGTAACGTTCGGTTCATTTTCAGGAATTCCCATGATGCAATTCCTATCACAGTTGGACGCGTATTTACGTGTTCCTTTTCAACAACTTGTCCAATAACCTTTGAAATTTCGGAAGTGGCGCCATCTGTTGTAAACCACACTCCTGAAACAGAGATAATTTTTTCTGAAGGAAGGCCATTTTTAGCTCTACTGGTCAGAGACCAGAAGAGCTTATGCGATAGTAAAGCGTCCGTCGCCCGTCCGTCTGTCTGTCTGTCTATCTGTAAACAATTTTTCAAAATGCTACTCCTCCTACTGTTTTGGTCCGATTTCAATATAACTTGGCACACAGATAGACTACACCAAGATATATAATTCTGTGCATCGGTTTTTGATTTCAATAAACGATGTTGCCGTGGTTACTAAAAATAGAAATTTCTGTGAAATTCCTTCAAAATGCTACTTCTCCTACAGTTTTGGTCCGATTTCAATATAACTTGGCACACAAGTAGATTATACTAAGATACATAATTCTTTACATCGTTTTTTGATTTCGATGAACGGTGTTGCCATGGTTACTAAAAATAGAAATTTCTGTGAAATTCTTTCAAAATGCTACTCCTCCTACAGTTTTGGTCCAATTTCAATATAATATGGCACACAAGTAGATTACACTAAGATATATAATTCTGTGCATCAGCTTTTGATTTCGATGAACGGGTGTTGCCATGGTTACTAAAAATAGAAATTTCTGAGAAATTCTTTCAAAATGCTACTCCTCCTTCAGTTTTGGTCCAATTTCAATATAATTTGGCACACAAGTAGATTACACTAAGATATATAATTCTGTGCATCAGTTTTTGATTTCGATGAACGGGTGTTGCCGTTGTTACTAAAAATAGAAATTTCTGAGAAATTGTTTCAAAATGCTACTCCTCCTTCAGTTTTGGTCCTATTTCCATACAACTTGGCACACAGATAGACTACACGACGATACATAATTCTGAGCATCGGTTTTTGATTTCGATAAACGATGTTTCCGCGGTTACTAAAAATAGACATTTCTGTGAAATTCTTTCAAAATGCTACTCCTCCTACAGTTTTGGTCCGATTTCAATATAACTTGGCAACTTGGCACACAAGTAGACTACACTAAGGTACATAATTCTGTGCATCGGTTCTTATTTTGATGAGTGGCAAGGATCATTTTTCTATTTATTGCTTATTTAAAGTCTCAAGTCCCAACTGCTACTTTTCTCTTCCTTTGTTTTAATTATAAACCAGTAGAGCTACAGTCTCGACAGAGACTTCTGGTTTTCCACTGAAATTGGTTTTCTTCCTTAATATTGACGGTTTGAACAGAAGATTGCGATAAAATTCAGAGGTAGACTCCTGCATAGGACAGAATTAGTTTTTATATATTGATCTATAGCGGAATTAAAGAACTGAAAAATTCATACCTTTTTCTCTTACAATATTTTCTAATGCAGATGTGAAGAATCTAGTCTTTCTAGGGTCGTTCAAAATTTCTAATCCTTCGCCTGTTATAGAAATCAAAAGCCGGGGTCTCTTTAGACCCCATCGTTTCATTAGGAGTGAGGAAAGAACGTTCAATTGGGTTGTGGTGCTGAGGCGAACGTACTAGAAGCAACAAAGCATGTTTAATTACACAACAAGTCAGGGACAAATTAACAATGTAAAGCTTTTTTTATATAAAAAGACAAACCATTTTAATTCAATTGTCATGGTAGGATTTCAGTGAAATGATACTAATGCAAGATTTTTACTTGAGCAACATAATGTTCCAGTCCCCCTTCTGCAAAAACTTCAACGCTTCCATAGGCATCTGTCATAGTATGATCTCCATTTAAAGATGGAAGTTTAGTTTGCATACTGAAAGGTAGACAAGGAACCATTTAGTATAAGATAGCATCATTTGGAGTGTCTCTATTCATCTCAGTTACGTTCTTGCCCATCAGTATACAACCAAGACATTATCAAATCCTTTGAGATATAATTTTGGGTTTGTGATACACATTGGGGTCAAAAATATACTCGAGTTTGCGTTTATTCTGGTGGATTGCTGGGTTACTTTGATTTTCAAGATCTGACCTTGTGTCAAGTAGTATATAAGAACATATAGCAATTTAACATCAATATTCCAAGACTTGTTGCAGTGAATGGATAAATAATAATGGTGAAACTGATATGATTGAATGTTGGAAGTAAAAGAGTGTGGGAATGATGAATGATTCATTGTCTTCTATCCCATGTTGGAAGACATCGTGTAGTTCCTTTTATAAAATGTACATGAAAATGATATTATGTGATACATGTGAGTTTCTTCACATAATATGTAACACTTATGTCATCAGCAACGATCATTCTGCTCAAAAGCCAGAGAGTAAATGTTCAGATCTTTTCATTTTGACTTCTTTAATACGACTTTTAAATGAAGTGTAAAAGCATGAAACACATTAAGGTCATGGACAAGAGCATACCAAAGTTTGAAGCCATTCCAATTGACGATTCGAAGAAAATGGCTCAAAATCAATTTTGTGACAGAAAGGACAAACAAAAACATGACTATGCCATTTGGGAGTTATAATAAGATTTTAATATCGTTATATGAATCATATTTTAGAAAAAGCATCGTACCAAATCTTTTAGAACAGAAATGATTAATAACGTTGAAAAAAACTTAAAACTTACAATGATTTGCGTGGTATTGTAATTTTATTTCGAATCCAATTCTCCATACCCTGAAACATATAAATATATAAGTACATGTATGAGGCAAAAAAATCTTTTAAGAGCGACTCCATTTCCGTATATCTATATGGGAAAAGAACGCAAAGAAGAGTACCCTGTTAATTTCATCCACTCCGGCTGAATCCTCGAAGTAGTTTTCGAGGTTCTGGGGATACCTTTGATGTCCCACGATCCTAACTAGCCATTCTGGCCTGTTTGATATGGAGTTCTCGTCTTGCTCTACAGGTAGAATTCTTTTCCAAAGAGTAGCCGCGAGTTCAATTTCTACAGTTTGTTGATGAAATTCATTTATCAAAATATCAATACATGTATTTTAATGTCAAGAAATGTATTTCAAAGACCCCAGAATCCTTCTGTGTAATATCATATTCTTTATTCTAGTTCTTTTGATATTAGGTATATTTAACTTTTCAGTAAAACCATGGAATTCAGTTTTATAATAATTATAATTAACATTTGAGATAGATAATTAAAACGCATACTAGTATTCAGAAAGAACCTAAATCTGATTCTCCCTTTAAAGAAAGAAAGTCAGCCATGTGTGAAATCACCATGGAGATCCCATTGATTTTGATAGATATTTATAAAAATCATTACTTGGAGTGGTAAATCTGAAATAAGATAACTTACCTTTCCTGCGAGTAGCATCTTCAAAGTAGGATTTGGAGAAACATGCGACAAAGATTCTGCATTCAGCGATAAGGTCAAACGTTTGGTTCTTATCCCAGTCCGATGTAAAATAAACTGTGTAATGTTTGTACTTGGTATGCTTCAATTGTTCCCGACATCTTTCTGCCCAATGTCTGTCTGTCGAGCTTATTAGCACAATTTCTTTCTTTACTGAATGCAAAAGAGCAAACCTTGATATGGATGACTACTACATATAATAAACATAGGTAATCAGAGATTACAGAGCTTACCTCAACGAATGTTGTCTTTCAGTAAGGCAAAGTCACATAATTACCCAACAAAAATTGTACATCCAAAAATGCCAAATTTATGCAATTTTGATCTGATACTTTAAAATAGACCTATTTAAAAACTTCAAACTAGTTCTTCATCACGAAAATGTGATTAAAATCCAGCATCTGAAGCAAGTTTGAGAGTTGTCATCCCTTAATGCATCATTTGGGCAAGTTTGATTTATATAAGCCTTACAGTTTCTTGGTAATAGACCTGCACCCATAACTTTTACCTGGTCCATTATCTGGAAAATGTATGTCGAATTCAGCATCTGGAGCAAGTCCATTAGTGTGCATCCTAAGATGTATCATCCATGCAAGTTTGCACAACATAGGGCTTATAATTACTTAGAAATGAAACCTGCATAAAAATTTAACCTCTTCACTCATCCAGAAAAAAATGTAGGTCAGATTCAGCATCCGAAGCAACTCTGGTAGTATGCATCCTAAGATTTATCATCCATGAAAGTTTAGTCATTATAAGGCTCATTGTAACTTGGAAATGAAACCTGCACCAAAAACTTTTAGCATGTTCACTCATCCGGAAAATGAAGGTCAGATATAGCATCCGAACCAAGTTTGGTAGTATGCATCCAAAGATGTACCATCCATGCAAGTTTGAGCATTATAGGGCTCATAGTATCTTGGAAATGAAACCTCTACCAAAACTTTTACCTGTTCACTCAACCTGAAAATGAAGGTCAGATTCAGCATCCGAAGCAAGACTGGTAATGTGCAACCTTAGATGTATCATCCATGCAAGTTTGGTCAACATAGGGCTTATAGTTACTTGGAAATGAGACCTGCACCAAAAACATTAACCTGTTCACTCAACCGGAAAATGTAGGTCAGATTCAGCATCCGAAGCAAGCCTGGTAATGTATCATCTGTGCAAGTTTGGTCAACATAGGGCTTATAGTTCCTAGGAAATGAGATATACACCAAAAACTGCACCAAAAATGTTAACCTGCTCCAAAAACACAAACTTGGTCATTCCTTTGCTGAAATTGCAGCATCAGAAACTTTGACTGGTACAATGAAACACACTAGAAGTATCTTCCATGCATGTCTAATCAATATAGGACATAGAAGTACTTAAAAAGAAAACTGTTCCAAAAAAACTTAACCCGGGACGCCGACGCCGAGGGTATTAAATAAGCTCCCCCAACTTCGTTGAGGTGAGCTAAAAAGGAATTCCTATCATAATGATTGTACATGCAATGTAATGTTAAGTTTTTTTTTCCGTACATGTCTTCACCATTTCCGATCTTATTTTTTAAGGTCTGACGGCAAGTTTATCTAGTATCATTTCCTGTATGTCTTTTAAAGGGGCATGGACACAGTTTCAGCTAAAATTTCAAAATTTATTTTTCCATTTTTACAAATATTTAACTAGGGTCTTTCTAATGATCATCAAAAATTGCAACGCCAGTTATCCAGATACAAGACAGATTAAGAGCCCCAGACCTTTGTTATATAAACAAGGCTAGTGTCATGTTTTTGTTTACACAGGTTAATATACTAATATATGTTCGTTCAAAGTAGATAATTTCAAATAAAAGTTAATTTTAAATACGATGCGACAGTTACTATTGATTTGCTGAACTTCATTTTGTTATAAATATGATATTTTCTATATGTAAACAAAAAACAAGGCAGGAGCCTTGTTTACATTATGAAGAACCTTAAGTTCTGTATCTTGTTCGTTAATCAACAAATGATGTTCAAATTTTTGCTAATCAAAAATGATGCCTTTGTTCGGAATTGTAAATATTAAAATTGGTTTTAAAAAATCAGTTGAAACTGTGTCCAGGTCCCTTTAATTCACCAAAATTATTTCTAATTATTATCGTTTGATGATTTCTTCACTGGTTTCAAAACATTTACATGTACGAAAAATTGTGATGTCAACAATGCAAGTGAGGCTATGTAGTGCTATACAGGAAATACTGTCCTTTAGAATCTAGCACAAATGTCTGGTAATGTACTTAATTTTATAGTGAGGGAGCTCGTTAAAGTACCGTTATGCTTCAATAACAAATTTATCGGGGAAATTACGTAAAATTACATTTAAATGAGGAAAGTGTTGTAAGATCTTAAATTTTCAAAAAAACTATGTTATCTTATTTTCTTCTGTTCCTTAATTTTAGCTAAAGAGCAAAGGTATTCTGTGACAAAATTTTCAAATCAATGTCAATCAAAAGCAAGTACTTTTGATGCATATAGACTCAAAAAGAAACTAAATGCCCAGTTTTTGCAACTGAACCAGAGAAATCACTGTCGTGTACTGCTTTTTATATACCCAGTATAGAAAGCTATTTTTATCTTTTTAGATATGAGGCAATCCCTTTTTGTGTCGCCTGCGGAGCACAGAGGCACTAAGGGATCACTTAACCCGGCGCCTGTCTGTCCGTCTAGCTGTTTGTCTGTATAGCTGTTCGTCTGTCCCACCTTGTATCTCAAGAACTGTAAGAGGTATGGACTTGATATTTTGCAAATTTATTGCTTGGCACTATCGCGGCATTTGTAAATTGCTATGGTTACCGACCTCGTGATTCCTGACCTTGGCCTTTTGACCTTCTTTACTAAAAAGTTCAAATTGCTAATATACAGCATATTTTTGACATTTAAGGGGTACTTCTGTTCTATTTAACATGCGCACTGATTGTCATAAAATATTACAAGCCTTACTATTCACTTAACCTCGACCTAAGTCCATAAAAAGAGGGTAGCAAATGTTCCTTCGCCATGCGCTGGACACTTGGAAGTGAAAGTTGCGGGTCCTTCGAATGAGACCTAAAAAACCGAGGACCCGGGTCAAGGCAGTCGTTGGCACGGTAAAGATCCCTAACTACTCAATGGCCCTTAGTGCCGAGTAACGGTCAAACTTTGAAGCTCTTCATCGGTATATGGTGACGTTTCTATATAAATGAAAGATTCACGACAACAAAACAACATACAATCAATCTTACCTCTTTCTGAAATTTGAAAAGCGTGATTTAAAGTCCTTTCCATGATTATTTTGTCCTCCTCATGGGGTAAAATCCACGCCATGTCTTGTGAATTTAAATCGGACATGTTTACATTTAAATTATAGGCTATGAATCGTTTCCCCGTGTTTCGAATTAATGTTCGTTCTGGAAAACAAAACAAAATTTTAAAGTTGAGATCAAACTCCACAGTTAATTTTTTTAATATTCACTTTGGTTCATGTATGCAATTAAAGAAAACAACATGGGTCCGTTTCTTGGCCTCTATTTTTATGTTTTTTTTTTAATTTGTAATAAACTCAAGTATCTTTTAATATCAACCGCGGAGTATCAGTGTGTACAATCACAATGCTTTAACAAACAAAATAATTTTCAATGACCAATGAGAAAGTTTTTTTTTTACTAAAAAAAGCATCTGTCTGTAATGTAAAAAAGCAAAGAAAAATTTTAAAGATGTTTTCACTTTTGAAAAGGGAAAGGGGGGGGTATTACAAAAAATCTAGCGAATTTTTTTTTTTAATGTCTTTTTTTCGATTGAACGGCCCATTTTGGAGAAAAGAGTCTTCAAAAAAAAAACTAATTAAAAAGGTTCAAAGTTACAAAACAAAAACAGTGACAATAATGACATTGTGACAAAATAAAAAAAAAAAAACATGGTCTAAAGAAAAATTGCTAAAAAAAAATGTTTCCTTAAAAAAGTACAAAATACTATTTACCAAACTGGCAGAATTCATCATCCAAATAGTCACGTGACAATATCACGAGATGATTTGTTGCAATGTTGATTTCCTCGGTCACTCGTTGCAACACTTCCTTATTGATATCCGAGATTGAGTAGTAATTACTGATGGAACACTTGACACCACATTTCTGTAAAATCTCGCAAACTGTCTTGGCTTCTGTAGCATTTCTGGGATGGTTACTGATGTAAATGTACTTTTCATGCCCTGTGTAATATTCAATTTTTTATTTAGTTTGTTTATTTACCAGTGAGATACGGCACTCATTTTTATACCCCCCCCCTCGCTTGAAAATTGGGAGGGTATAGAGTGATCGGGATGACCGTCCGTCTATCTGTCTGTAGGCCCATCCGTCTGTTACACTTTTGGGTACCCATTTTTTTATCAGCAACTCCTATACTACTGAATGAAATTGATATGACTTTCACATAGTGCCATTGTGACCTCCTATTTTACTTTTTGATCCGACACATATTTTGGGTTCCCCATAGCAAAACATGGGCATTGCCATTATATTCATATAGGAGGCGGGGTATCATTTAGTGAACTTATTGCTCACAATACCTCTAGTCCTTTGGAATACTATTTGGCAACTTTAGTCTCTGCCAGGATAATTTTTGTTTTCTCTATCTTAAAAAGACCGAAGAAGCATTTTTACAACACTCCTTCTGAAGGGAAGGAAAGTGGATAGTTTTCCCACATATTGTATATTTTTGACACAGAATTTCACTCTGAAATACATTAATATTGACAAAATATCACTTTTATTAAATAAAGTAAGAATATCATGTTGAAAATGCGATAAAGGGATTATATATATACCAATACCTTTTTGGTTTCTTCGAAGAGTAAATACTGATGGGCGGTCTACGTCATCAAAGACCAGTAAGTTATTCTGGGTGTTCTGCCATTGTGCTATCAATGGGTCAAAGGTTATCAGAGCAAGTTCATTTTGCCGAGATGATGCTAGCTGATAGTCTGGAATGCAGGATACAGTTAACTCCATAAATTGTATAAATTCAAGTTTCTTTTGTAAGTCATTTTGCAAACAGGGCTGCTAGACACATATTTTCTGTACCTTGGCATCCTTGTAAGAATAAATAGAATACTTATAATTAATAAGTTCATCGTTTCATAAAATCTTTAAATATTCTGTCAATCTGTACATAAGGTTAGATCGTCTGCTCTATAGTCGCGAAGTAAGGAGTTGATCCTTAGGTCGCGGGTTTTAATCCCACTGTGGGACGTGGAGACTGATCTTTCGGATGAGGCTATTTAAGCCGAGGTCCCGTGTCGTAGTAGGTGCTGGCACGAAAACGATCCCTCAATGATGATTGACCCTAATTCTGAGAATAGTTGTCCACTGTCAAGTGGTGGCCTCTCCATATGAGTGAAAACTCTCCAGAGGAAGTTAAACAACACACAAATACATAAAATTAATGTATTACCCGGCAGAATGCTACTCCAACGGAGAAATAAAGAAGAAATTACATATAGAGGAACATAAATTATAATCAATGACTATAGTTACAATGAAAAAGGGCACACGGCGGTTATGACCTATCGATAGGGATGTTTATTCCTCCATGGTACCTGATCCCAACTGAGGCTAAGAGCTTAGTGTTTGCTCTGTGTTCGATTTTCAGTGCTTAAATGGATTTCTGAGCTTGATTGCTGTTCATTATCTCTCAGCAATTTTTTAGGGGGACCAGTGAAGTCCGTTGGGGATTTTCGATTGAATTTTTGGTGTGCATAAGTTCACTCCTTTAAAAGATCTACAAATGTATATACTCTCATATTTTCAAAAATAACGTTCTTGATGATAATCTCGTTTACAAATGTTATACAATGTCTACTCTACTAAAAGACCTATGTGTCTGTTTTAGTGTCCTCTAATGTGTTGGTAATATTTCTTTCTGATTACGCCTTGGACTTTGGTCATCCTCATGCACTAAATAGTTTAATCATTTTTTATCACTTTTAACTATATATGTTTAATAAATTAGTGTAAATGCTAACCTTGTTCTTGTTCCTGGCTTATTGCGTATTCTTTTGACAAACACATGAGAACGATCCCATTGCTAAAATTGTTATATTCATCGTCTTTCTCCGTCCTCTCATTTCTGCAAGTGACGTCAGCTTTGATGCTATGTAAGCTCTTCAGGAACCTTTTGATATTCCCCTCGTCACGGGAGTGGTAACACAGCAGTATCTTCCTCTTCTCTGCTTTCTTGCACACTAAAACACCAAAATTAGTTTAAGGAAAATGGCCTAAATATGTTGTATTCTAAAGAAAGAACACGGAGCAATAAATTAAGTAAAATTCATTGTTTTTAAATAAATCCTTGTAGAAACAAGTGTAGCTTACAAAGAAATGTCAACCATTTGAGGATAACATCTTGCATTTCCGTCGAGTGTCCTTTAGAATTGTGATGATCCATGATCAAATTTTTGCTTAAAAGCTATTCTTCATAGCATCTGAAAATCAATCAAGATATTACTGTATACTTTATATCTGAGTGTTCTAAACACCTACGTCAACGGCAACAACACATACTTTGAAACGTTTTAGTCTACGGGATGTTAAATTTACAGCATATTAGCAATAGATACCAAATAAATATTTAATTTTTGTACACATTTATTAAATGGTCTTTGGGGTACTAGTATTCACAAAAATGTGAAAATTAACATTAATTATTTCCATTTATATGTAGACTTGATATATCCCAGTGAACTTGAAATAAAAGACACCTTACTCTGCCAGATCTGTTTTAAATTTGGATATTTCACTGACTAAAGACGATAAGGGTCATCTAACATCTAAAAGGAAGGGGAAACGAGAAGATTAAAGGAAAACATCAAACTGGCAGTAAAAAGGTATTTCAGTTGTCTTATTTTCTTCTTGTAATGCAAAACTGTCTATGTTTGTTCAGCTTTTATTAATCTTTGAATTTAAAAGATGTTCTAATAATTCGTTTTGTTTTGCTTTTAGCATAGTACCATAAACATACGACCCTTTGAAAATATTTTTTCGGGGTTCATTTTTATCTTCAGTTAAGTGTGAACAATATATTTGAAATTTGATTTGTACATGTTTTATTTAATTACCAGATCCAACCCACTACCTTTTGGTCCAATTAAAACTCTTAGTATCATTTTTATGCGGTAAGAAAAAAATGGTACCCTGATCTTAACGGGGAAGTCAAAGTGGGTCAGTTTTTTACCCCATATTTAAAATCTACATAATTTTCGTAAACGCACTTTTTGAAGCACACCTCGCCACTCTCTTTTTTTGTTTTAAAAGTCTTATAGTGCTTCGACTATTTGGTTTATTAAAAATAGTACTCATATTCTCTGTCATCGATGGCAGTTACGCATACATGTATGTAGCGGTAATAAGTCGTATTCGTCAACTGTACTGAAAAAATGTATTAGTTATGAGCACCCAGAATTAAGATGAAAAGTATCAAATTTTTGCAACAAACAATAATGTTGAATCTCTGAATCAGTTTGTTTTGTTCTTTTAAAAATATATATATTAAAAATCTTTCTATTCGTTCCATTTATATGCATAAATGTTTGACAATTCAATAAGAGGAACAAAAATCACTGAAGCAATGTGTAGATTGTATATCCCAAATGTATTTGTATTGTACAACAGACTCATTAATTGAATTAGAATAGATTCAAATAAATCAATACATGTGTGATGCTACATGATACCATATGTTGATGTATATTGTTCAGTATAAAATAATACAAAGATTAGGGGCTAGTTAAACACCACAGGCTACGAAAGCCCAGAAGGCTCATCCGAGATTCAAGTTTCGAAATACGAGATTCAAAATTCGAGATTCGAAATTCGAGTTTCGAGATTCAAGATCCAGATTAACCAATCAAAAGGCTCATTCGAGATTCGAGGTTCGAAATTCGAGTTTCGAGATTCAAAATCCAGATTAACCAATCAAATGCGGGTTCAACATTGATTACTCCCCTTTATTATGTTTAATCTATCAATAAATCGTTTAATATATTTATAACAAATGAGTCATTTGAATAAATTACAATGCAAGAAAGAGTGTTATATATATTAGAAAGAAAGTTAAATAATCATTTGATTTTTGATCAGCAAGATATACTTCAATTTACATTATGACTTCTTAAATATTAAATAGAATACATAATCAGGAATATATATATTTTTGCATTGTCTACTATATATAAAGGGTTGTTGACATAATAATACAGTTATAAATAGTGACTACAGATTAACAAAATCCCCACCCCTACCCGCAACAACTGCCAATATTTCCCGACACTGAAAATGTTACTTTAAAAAACTTGAAAGGCAATGTAGCCTTGATAAATAAAAACCGAGTATATTTTAGTCTTTGACCATAACGCTATGGTCAGAGACTAAAATATAAAACCATAACGCTATAGTTCTGCAGCTAATTTAGACTAATCTACTGTTTGATATCAGATAAAATGAATGCTGCATTTATTCTAATTCATATTTGCAATCTGTATTGTATATATAATTGTTAATTAGTTCAAGAAATCAAAGCCTTAGATGAACATAAGTAATTGAAAACTTTATTTATAATGTATTCCCTCTCTTAGGAAAACGAGCGCGGTTTTTATTTATCAAGGCTACTTTGCCTTTCAAAGTTTTAAAGTAACATTTTCAGTGTCGGGAAAAATTGGCAGGTGTTGCCGGTAGGGGTGGGGATTTTGTTAAATTTTAGATACTATTTATAACTGTATTATTATGTCAGCAACCCTTTATATACAGTAGACAATGCAAAAATATATATATTCCTGATTTATGTATTCTATTTAATATTTAAGAAGTCATAATATAAATTGAAGTATATCTTGCTGATCAAAAATCAAATGATTATTTAACTTTCCTTCTAATATATATAACACTCTTTCTTGTATTGTAATTTAATCAAATGACTCATTTGTTATAAATATATTAAACGATTTATTGATAGATAAAACATAATAAAGGGAAGTAATCAAATGTTGAACCCGTATTTGATTAGTTAATCTGGATTTTGAATCTCGAAACTCGAATTTCGAATCTCGAATTTCGAACCTCGAATCTCGAATGAGCCTTTTGATTGGTTAATCTGGATCTTGAATCTCGAAACTCGAATTTCGAATCTCGAATTTTGAATCTCGTATTTCGAAACTTGAATCTCGAATGTACGAAAGCCCAGAAGGCTCATTCGAGATTCGAGATTCGAAATACGAGATTCGAAATTCGAGTTTCGAGATTCAAGATCCAAATTAACCAATCAAAAGGCAGGTTCAACTTTGATTACTCCCCTTTATTATGTTTTACTATCAAGAAATCGTTGAATATATTCATAACAAATGGGTCATTTACTTAAATGATAATGCAAGAAAAAATGATATATGTATTAAAACGAAATAAAAAGGAATTTTGGGTTCCATTTTGGAAAATATATATAAATTCTTATTTTTCCTCATTAAACAAAACAATAGATACGTATATAGAATATTACATGGTCTTATCGTTGAATCGCGGTATAAGCAGGTCGACATTTTTTTTAAAATAAGAACATTGATGAGGGAGAAAATTATAATGAGGATACATTTCCTTATATTGTGCCAACCCCCCCCCCCCCCACAATAATTTTGCCGATATGTGAAATACTATAGAAATCATAACTACTATATGCTTGTGCCCCCTCAATAAAAACATCTGATGACTTTTTTTGCTTTGTTTTTGGTTGTCAAGAAATTTTTGGTAGTTGAAAACTGCAAATGCATGACTGTGCCCCCCTCCCCCCAATGAAATGAGCGTTATGGTTTTACTAGTATATTTGAGTCTTTGACCATAACACTATGGTCAGAGACTAAAATATAAAACAATAACGCTACAGGTCTGCAGCTTAGCTAGACTCATCTACTATTTGATATAAAATACACTAAATTCCAGTCTGTATTGTATCTATGATTTTTAATTAATTAAAGTTATCAAAGCCTTAGACCAAGATAAGTAATTGAAAACTAAATTTTTATGTATTTCCTCTATTAGGAAACCTACAAAATATTTTTGTGCCCTGAAATAACGTAAATAAGAATATCAACAATTGATTAATAATGATGGCAAATATGTAAACTAACAACAAGAGATCTTGGAAGAAGTCAGAAAATTTTAGCAAATGACAATTGTGAAAGGTAGCTTAAGTTACTTTTATAGATATTGTTTAGTTTCTTTAGACCTAACAGAGATCTACATGAAAATAAAGATCAAGAACTCGATGATCTTGAAGATGTATGAACTTGTGTATTGATTGGTTATGTATCTATAAAATAAAAAAAAAATTGGCATAAAACATTATCAAGTTGTCAGCTAAATAGTAAATCAATAATAGTTTCCGAGCAGGTTTTATAAACTTTTTTTTAAAGCGATTTGAAAGAATACCTGCTTTTACGATATTCAGTCTGAACCAAAGTTCGATTTACATGTATGTATACCCCCCCCCCTCGCCTCCCCCCCCCCCATCCAATCCCCCTTCCAAACAAAATTTCACATTTACTGATAATTCATTTTCAGTCTTAAATATAATTACAGTCCTATTAAAACCAAAAATATTGTAAGGCATTTATAAATTATATGAACTCATTCAACTCATAATGAAGGGAAGGGGGGGGGGGTGTATTTAAATTTCAAGTGTTCCTCTGTCACCAAGCAGGGTATAAATGAATATCAGGTGTGAAAGTTACATGAGAATCGGCCTTGTAGTTTTTGAGAAATCGCTTGCACAAAATCGGTAAGAATAGGGAAAAAGAAACCGAAGAATAACAAGAAGGTCTTCCGTTGGAGACGGAAGACCTTAATAAGAATAATAATAATAAGAAACAGAGTAAAAACAATATGTTCCCCAACTTCGTTTGGGGAACATAATAAGACCGAGTTAAATGTATTAATCCCTTCTTCATGTTTATTTCTACATACACGAATCAACTTATATCTATCATTTTCGATAAATATAATACAGAATTATATACTCTCTAGCTAATTTTTCGGTCTATTCACTTATCCCCTACATTACATTTAGATAGACAATTCTTCGATTTTGCGAGACCTATATTTCTGCATGCATCAGTGTATCAGAAAGAAAATCGTCGTTTAGTATAGGCATTTTTAATCAACTGAATACTTCGCTATGGTACGATATTTTGAATATTTTGAACTCCTTTCTGCCATTGCTGTATGGAAATATCTAAAAGGCAATTCATATTATTTCTAATGTATGACAAAATCTATATCATTCTACAACAAGAATACCTGTGTGTCACGCTGGAATCCGCCATATTGTTTACCTGAGAGATCGTTCATACCGTCACGCTCCATTAATAATGGAACCTAATTATTACAGTACTTGTTTCATGGATG